AGGGGGGGACGGACGAGCGACGAGAGGTGAGGCTTGTGGGCCTTCTTGTGCTTCTTCTTCTTGTGCGACTGGGTGTCGTCGGTCTCGGTCGAGGCGGCCGGCGGGTGGTTGAACGAGGACGAGGGAGGAGCGGGAGCGATGGCGACGGGCCTCGAGTGAGTGGTGTCCGAGTCGGGCTGTGTGAGGGGAGGGGGTGAGCCGGGTGAGGCTGTGCCGGGACTCGGAGAGAGACGAGGACGAGGCGGACCTTGTTGTGCTTGGGTGCCGTGGCGGCGGGAGGAGGGGGAGGGGTGGGAGCTGGGTCGCGAGGAGCGAACGAGGTGGGGGCGGCGGGCGAGTCGAGGATGCGGCCGCGCTTGGCCATGGTGTGTGGTGGTGGAGAGTGAGGCGGTGCTGGATCGCAGATGAGGGGAGGAGGAGAACGGGGTGAGGCTCGAGGGGAGGGCGACGACGGCGACGAGAGGAGGTGCAACCGCTTGCACCCTCGACGAGCACCAGCACAACTAGTGCGCCACCACTATAGCCACAGCTCGAACCACCTCGAGCCTCGACCAGCACCCCCGCCCGTCGAACCCTCTCTTCGCTCCACCTCGTCACCCTCGACCTCCCTCCCCTCGTCACCTCGACTCCTCGCTCCTCGTCCAGCGCTCGTCGAGCTCTACCAACAAGTCAGCCACAGCCTCGGCAGTAGCACCAGTGAGTCGCCCGTCCCTCGCACTCGACCAGCCCTGAGCAGCCACGACCACCTCCCCCCGCTCTCATCTCCCTCCTCGCAAGCCCTCGCCCCACGCCGGGCCAAGCACCACCAACTGACTCGAGCACCCAACTCAACAGACTCGCCCACCATGTCGACGCTGCCCTCGACCACCACCGCCGGCGGCACCGCACCTCGGCGTCCGCTCCCTCCCCACCTCGTCAGCGACACGCCCCCGACCCCGTCCCGCTCGCCCTCGAACGCGTCCGCGTCCGGCAACGACAACGAGGACGAGTCGGCAGACGACGACGAGTCCGACTACCACGACGGCGACCCAGACGACCCGCACGCATCGACTCTCGACCTCCAACACCTCGCACCCGCCGTCGCCACCCCGAAACCGACCGGCGCATCCTCGTGGCCGTTCAACCACCACCACCCGACGACGGCCACCGCCGACAACACCCTCGTCGTCGTCAGCCCGACCCCGGAGTACGCCCTCGAGCAACCCGCCATCCCGGCCTCGTCGCTCCCGCACGAGATCCTCCTCCACATCCTGCGCCTCCTCCCGCCGCCCTCGCTCGCGCCCGCACTGCGCGTCTGCAAGGCCTGGTGCCAGTGCGGCGTCGAGCTCCTGTGGCACAAGTTGTCGTTCACGTCGGTCGCGGCCCTGTACAAGATGCTCCAGGTCCTGTCGCTCCCCGAGCAGACGTTCCCGTACCCGGACTTTGTCCGCCGCATCAACTTTCACCCGCTCGCGAGCGAGATGTCGGACCGCGTCGTCGCCAAGCTGTTGCCGTGCACGCGCCTCGAGCGCATCACGCTCACGAGCTGCAAGAGCCTGTCGAGCGCCGCCATGTGCGCCCTCCTCGTCCAGAGCCACCGCCTCGTCGCCCTCGACCTTACCGACGTCCCCAACGTCGACGACGACGTCCTCGTCGCCCTCGCCGCCAACTGCCCAAAGGTCCAAGGCCTCAACCTGTCGGGCTGTTCGAGGATCACGGACCGCGGCCTCGAGGCCATCGCGCTCGGGTGCCCTCTCCTGCGACGCGTGCGTCCCCCACCTCTCTCTCTCTCCCTCTCCCCTCTCCGTGTCCCTGACTCTCGAACTCGCACCCTGCCAGATCAAGCTCCGCAAGTGCGACCTCCTGACGGACGTCCCGATCGTCCTCCTGTCGATCCACTGCCCGCTCCTCCTCGAGGTCGACCTCGCCTTCTGCAACTCGATCACGTCGCTCGCCGTCATGCAGCTCCTGCGCACGTCGCACGCCCTGCGCGAGGTGTCGCTCCCCGGATGCGTCCTCCTCGACGACGACGCGTTCCCCGACGCGAGCCAGTTGACGCTGCTCCCGCCGGCGACGAGGGACGACCCGCACCACCACGGCCACCACCTCGACAGCTCGCCCCTCGTGCGCTCGGGCGCCGCCTCGCCCGCCCGCGCCGGGACCCCGTCCACCTCGTCGACCGAGGCCGTCGCCGCGCTCGTCCCCTCGTCCACCTCCTCGACCCTCCTCACCTCGTCCGGCGCCCTCATCGCGCGCCCGACCCCGTTGCGCTCGCCGCCCGCCGTGCGCCCGTACGACCACCTGCGGTACCTCGACGTGACGGCGTGCGGCCACCTGACGGACCAGGCCGTCGCCGGCATCGTCAAGTACTGCCCGCGCCTGCGCAACCTCATGCTCGCCAAATGCACCAGGTTGACCGACGACAGCCTGTTGGCCATCTGCGGGCTCGGCAAGCACTTGCACTACCTCCACCTCGGCCACGTCAGCAGGTGCGTCCTCTCTCTCCCTCTCCCCCTCTCTCTCTCTCTTTCTCTCGCGACGACGGGCCCTGACGAGGCGTCTCTCTCCCTCTGTCGCAGCGTCACGGACACCGCCGTCACGGCCATCGCTCGCGCGTGCACTCGCCTGCGGTACATCGACCTCGCGTGTGCGTCCCTCGCTTTCCCTCTCTCTCTCCCCCCCCCTTCCTCGTCCCCTGTCCAGCGGCAGAGCTCTCGAGACTGACGAGCGGCGACCAATGTCGAGCAGATTGCCGCAACTTGACCGACGCGTCCGTGTTCGAGCTCGCGGCCAACCTCCCGAGGCTCAAGCGCATCGGCCTCGTCCGGGTGCGTCTCTCTCTTTCTCTCTCTCTGTGCGAGCGCCTCTCGTCGTCGTCGTCGTCGTCGAGCGTACTGACTCGGTCCACTCTCACCGCCCTCGCAGGTCGTCAGCATCACGGACGAGTCGCTGCACGCGCTCCAGGCGCGCACCTCGCTCGAGCGCATCCACCTGTCGTACTGCGACAACCTGACGGTGTCGGCCGTCAACGACCTCCTGCAGCACCTGCCGCGCGTCACGCACCTGTCGCTCACGGGCGTGTCGTCGTTCCGCAAGCGCAGCCTGCAGCAGTTTTGCCGCGCGCCGCCAAAGGACTTTAACGACCACCAGCGCCGCTCGTTCTGCGTCTTTAGCGGCCGCGGCGTGCACGACTTGCGCAAGTTCCTGCGCCAACTCGGGCCAGACGACCTGGCGGCGCTCGCGCTCCCGGACCCGCCCGAGGACGGCCCCGGCGGCAACGGCCTGCTCGACCCGCAGCACGCCGTCGCACAGTTCCAGCAGCAGCAGCAGCACCTCCTCGCGGCGGCGCGCTTTGGCGGCGCCAACGCCCATGCGGCGCCGCAGCAGCCGCCGCAGCCGGGCCAAGGCTGGCCCGCCGTCGCGCCGCCGGCAGGAGCAGGAGCAGGAGCAGGAGCAGGAGGAGGAGGGCCGGTCGCGCACGCCCAGGCGCAGGCGCACGCCCAAGCGCACGCGATGGCCCAGGCGCACGCGCAGCACGCACGCACGCAGGCCATGGTGCAGGCGCGGCAGGCGGTCGCGCTCGCTGCGCAGCGCATGCAGGCGGCGGGCGCGGCGGGAGGAGCGGGAGGAGGAGGAGGAGGAGCGGCGGGCGCGAGGGGCGGGAGCGCACCCGCGCAGGGCAACATGCTCGGGCTGCAGAGCTTGCAGCACGCGACGGCGCCGGGGCGGCTGCAGCAGGGCGGCGCAGGTGCAGGAGGAGGAGGAGGCCCGGGCGGCATGCACCGCTTCGTTGTGCCCGCCCCTCGACCCGGCCCCGCCATGGTCGTCGACGACGGCGTCGGCGCCGACGATGAGCGGCAGAACGTGCCCATCTCGCGCGTCGCGCCGGGCGGCGGCATCGACGACGCGGGCCTGCAGTCGCCGCCGAGGGCGGGCGCCGACGACGGGGCGCCCGACGATGGCGGCGAGGACGACAGCGGCTCGATCGCCGGCGGAGCAGGAGCGGGAGCAGGGCCCGCAGGCGCGAGGCCCCGCAGCGCGACGGTGACGCAGCGCAACTACCGCTCGGCGCCCGTGACGCCCCTGCCCGGCCCGCACGGCGGCGTCGCCGCCGACGCGATGCAGGTCGACGAGGACGAGGACGACGAGGGGAGCGAGAGCGGCGCCGACGACGAGGGCGACGAGGAGGACGTGCACATGGTGTGAGCGCGGCGGTTCGAGGGCGGGCGTCGGCGATGGACGCCGGTGTCTCGCTCTGGGGGCGGCTCGTGTTGTACCTTCCCTACCTCTCTCCCTCTATCCCTCTCAGTCCCTCTCCCCCTTCGCGCTCGTCGCGGTTTGCGCGTCTCGTCCCTCGTCCCTCATCGTCCCACTTTTTTGCTCTCGCACGCTCTCTCTCTCGCCTCTCGCACACGATCTAGTTCTCCTGCATAATGCCCGTTCGCTCATTTTTCAGTCTATCGATGCGAGGTGCGCGACACAGCTACAGCAAGAGGCGCATCGAGTAGGCGTCCTGTGCGCGCGAGAGAGGAACGTGAGCGAGTCTTTTCGAAAGGAGGAACGGGCGCAAAGCGAGAGAGTGTCGGGCGCACCTCGCCGTCCTGGTCTGCGGTTCGCGAGCAAAAGGAGCGTGAGTACGAGTCCCAGGACCCGACGAGAGAAAGAGAGAGACTGGGAGAGCGGGACGCACAGTAGCCCTTCTCGATCTTGACGACCTCGAACCCGAGCGTGTCCTTGTAGAGCGCGAGCGCGGCCCGGTTCGTCTTGCGCACGTGCAGGCTCACCATCGACGCGCCGTAGACCGTCTTCATCGCGTGCTCTGCGGGCGGGCAGGGTTTTAGCGGTCTACTCTACGGCCAGACGCAGACGCAGGGTTCTCGCTCGACGGCAGGCACCGAGAGAGCCCCGCGGTGCAAGGGAGGGAAGCGAGACGCACGAGAGAGCTGCATGAGCTTGTTGGCGAGGCCGAGGCGGCGGTAGTTGCGCAGGACCGAGATGGACGTGACGTGGCCGTGCGGGTCCTCAGTCGCGTCCTCGTCCCTGCGCATCAGGAACCGCGGCATCAGTCACGGCGCTCGAGAGAGAGCACACGAGAGAGAGACGCAGGAGAGGGAGCGACGCACATCTTTGCGAGGATGTAGCCGACTATCCGGCCCTTGTGGTCCTCGGCGACAAACGAGACTTGGGGCCACGTGAGGCCGTGGTAAAGGTCTGTGGCGAGGGGGCGGCTCGGTCAGTTGGTTGTCTCTGTACTCAACTCGACGAAAAGAGGAGCGACGCGCAGTACTTCATCGTGTAGTTCTGCGACGGGCGAGCGAGAGGTCAGGGCAATGCGAGAGCGGGCCTCGAGAGAGGGCGCGCAGGACGAGAGAAGCCCGACGCACCTCTGGCAAGTTGTGGATGTTGCAGTTCTGCATCTCCATGAGATCGCCGATGGTCGCTCGTCGGATGTTCATGCTGGGAGAGAGAGAGACGGGTGGGGCGGACGGGGAAGGAGTGAAGGGTTCGAGGGAGGGGCGCAAAGGGTACGGGGACCGGTTACGGCGGTAGTGTCGGGTTCTGTGGACGATGGACCGGTCAGTGCAAGGCTCGAGGGACTGGTGGGCGCCCTCGCTGCTGCGCCGACTGCCCTCGCCGAAGCGGTGCTGCGACGGCCGGTCCGTCTCGCCGCGCACAGGACCGACTGAGCGCTCAGCAAGCTTGTGGGTGCTCCATGAGCTGCTAGAGCCGCCCGTCCGAACGCCTCATCGCCCGCCTGACCCCGCCTCGGTCCTCATCAGTGACAACGACCGAGAGCTCCTGACCTCTGGTCCCGCTCCGCCAGAGCCCCTCGTTTCGACCCAGTCCTCACACAGGCATTCGGCCCAGCCCAGTCCACCCATCGCGCGTCCATGAGCCGTGTGCGGAGAGGCGAGTCGGCGGCCTTGTCGCGAGGAGGAAGGCGGTGGTGGGTGCTCAAGAGGTGACGGCTCGGCAGGGTTGAGGCGCGCAGACTCTGGACGAGGTCTGGGAACATCGTGGCTCACTAGAAGGCGGAGCTGGCGAGTCGTGGTGAGAGGCCGACCTCGTCTCCGAGTCGGGCGGACGAGACGCCGCTCTTCTCTCGCTCCCCGTCTCCATCGTGTGCTGCGCAATACCTGCACATGCTGCAAGTTCATGCGCGTAAGCCTGTGCGAGCGCGCCCATCGCCGCCAGATGCAGTGCCGCGACCGCCTCCTCCCCCTCGGCTCTCTGCTTCCCCGCTTCAGGCTCTCTTCTCGCGGTGCGGGTGCCCTTGCACGGCGCCTGAGTTGCTTGCGCTTCCAGCCGGTAAATGCGCGACCCTCGGGCGAGAGCAGAGACGCCGCTCGACCCCTCTCGTCCGCCGGCTTCTCCTCGCCGAGGGACGCCCCTGTCCGCTGCGCTCGGCGAAACGGCGCGAGCTGCGACGCACTCCTTTCCCTCTCGCCACCCACTCGCCGTCGAGCATGAGTACCGACAACCCGACCGCACCTCCCGCCAAGACGCCCTCTTCGCCCGGCGACTCGTCCTCGACCACGAGCTGGACCGCGACCGAGGTCGCCATCTCCGACCCGGGCGACAGCGCTACCGCGACACCGTCGTCGCCAGTCGACTCGCTTTCGACCCGCCCCGAGCAGGCCCACACGGCCAGGTCGCTCGAGGCCTCGTCGAACGAAGACGGCTCGCCCGGCGGCGGCGACCACAAGCTCAAGACGCCCAGCTCGCCGACCTGGTCCCGCTCCAAGCTTCCCGTCTCGGACGACGAGCGCGAGGGCGGTGTCGTTGAACCTGTCAAAACCAACTCGCTCGACTCGAGCACGAGCGCCGTCGTTGACAAGGAGGACAAGCCGGTGCGTCTCCCTCTCACTCTCTCCTTGCCTCTCCTACGACGCCTGCAGACGCTCACTCGCTCGCCTCCTGCAGACCAACGACGCCGCCCTGCCGAAAGACCTCTCGACCCCGGCCAAGCCGGCCTCGGCTCGTCCCGCGTTCGTCGTCACGCGCCCGACTGCCATGGGCGAGAACGAGGTCGTCAACGTCACGCAGCCGAGCACGCCGTCCGCGAGCGTCCACGAGGACGACGAGCCGGCCAACAACGCCGCTCTCAAGGCCGTCGAGGTCGCGCTCAAGCCCGCCGCCAGCCCCGACTCGCTCAAGCCCGTCATCCAGATCACGACGTTCCTCCCCGACACGCAGGCATTCGTCGCCTCGCCCGCGTCGACCAACCTCCCGTCGGCCATCTCGCCCCGCACGTCGGCCTTCTTCTCGTCCGACTTCTCGATGAGCGGGCCGCGCAGCCCGCCTCGGCCCGGCGGCGCCATCATCATGGAGCTGCCCTCGGACGTCGAGCTCGACGTCGACATCGAGGTGCGTCGCTCGGCGAGGACCGTCGTCTCGAGCGCCGGCGAGCAGGCCAACGCTCGCATCCAGCCGGCGGCGCTGCCGCAGCGGACGTCGCCCGCCACGTCGACCAAGCACCGCTCGCGCTCGCCGTCGCCGCAGCCGCCTCCTCGCGAGCGCCGCGCCGACGAGCCCTTGTTCAAGTCGCGCGACCGCCGCTCGCGCTCGCGTCAGCGCCACGCCGGCGCGTCGCACTCGCACGGCGCCAACCTGAGCGACGCCGACTCGTCCGCCTCGGAGCCCGACGCAGCCGGCCGCACGCCGTTCCTCCCGCGGCGCACCGTCGTGTCAAGCGCGGCGCCGTTCCTGAGCCGCACCGAGTTACTCAGGGAGCAGTCGAGGCGCCGCGAGCGCGACCAGGAGCGCGAGCGCGATCGTCGAGACGAGCCTGAGCCGGTCCGTGCGCGGCGCGAGGCGCCGCACGATGAGCCCCAGCGCTCGAGCGAGGGCCGTCGTCGCGACCACGAGCGCGACGAGCGCCGCAGGGACGAGCGCGATGCCGAGCGGCGCCACCGCGACGTCGAGTCGGCCCGTCGCGAGCCTGCGCACGAGCCTCGTCGTCCCGAGGCGGCCCGCCACGACCAGGCCGCGACCCGCAGCCGCCGCCACGAGTCGGAGCGGCACGACTCGCGCCGCCGCGACGCTGCCTCGGCCGAGCAGCCGCGCAAGCCGGCCCTTGCTCGGCTCCTCGACGCGGTCCAGGACGCGCTCGACCACGATCCGACAGCGTACTACGCGCTCAAGGGCCTCCTCTCGGAGCACGAGCTCTCGATCTCGCAGCGCCGGCGCTCGCACGAGCGCAAAGCGCCCGGGCCGGTCGAGCGCCACCACGAGCGGGACGAGGACCGCAGCTCGGTGCGCGACGGGCGCGACGGGCTCGTGAGGGACGAGCAGCGGTCGTACGAGCGCGAGAGGCGCGAGAAGCGGATCCCGGTGGACTTGCTCGGACGGACTGGGGGCGGGAGCGGGTCGGAGACGGAGGTCGGGTTTGAGAAGGTCAAGCGCGGCGACGGTGCGTCTCTCCCTCTTTCCCTCTCTCTCTCTCCTGCCCTGGAAGGGCACGACCTGACTCTCTCTCTTTCTCTCTCCAACAGGCTCCAAGTCGTCACACTCGCAGCGCGCACCGGGCAGCAAGTTGCGCACGCCCCGCTTCTTCTCGACCCACCCACCTCGCCGCGATTCGCCCTCGCCGCCCCTGTACCCGTCGCACCTCTCGCCGCAACGCACCTCGCACACGCACCGCCAGACGCCCGACCTCGTCCGACCCGTCCCTGTCCACGCGCACGACGACGCCCCGAGGTCGCGCGACGAGTCGGAGCGTCGCGCGCCGCGCCCCGCGCAGACGCTCACGCTCGCGCAGGCGGCCAAGCTCGCTGCTGGGCTCGGCGACGAGCGCCTCGCCGAGGAGCTGCGCGCGAGCGGCCTGAGTGGGCGGGACAAGGTGACCAAGCTCGGCGAGCGCGTCAAAGACTCGAGTCGCGAGGACGGCGAGCGCCGGGACGAGGGGCGCTTGAGCGCCAAGGTCAAGGTCCACAAGGCGTCGGGCAAGGTCGGCGCCGACGAGGAGCTCAAGCTGCGGCGCCGTCACGGCGACGAGCGCGGCGAGTCGTCGTCGTCGTCCCGGCACGGACCCTCGACCTCGGCCAAGGACGCCCTGCGCTCGAGCATCTTCAAGGTCCGCCCGCCAGTCGTCATTGACGACGTCCCCGTCGTCTCTGCCGCGACGGGCAAGTCGTCGCGCCGGCGCAGGGACAACGACGAGCCGTACCGCTCGCCGACGACGGGCTCGGCGGCCCGCGCGACGTCGCACTTTGACCGCCCGTCGCGCTCGGCGGCTGCCGCGTCGCAGTCGTACGACTTGGACGACTATGCGTAGTCGCACGACGTGGAGCATCGTCGCCGTCGCGAAGCCTCTCTTGCCTCTCTGTCACCCCCTGCCCTTTTCTCTCCGAGACTCGCCTCCTTTTGTCTAGCTATGTGCAACGTGGTCCGTCTATCATTCGTTCGCGAGCAGCTCTACAACTTGCCCTCCTTGCCCTCCTCGAAGCCCATGTCCCGCAAGAGCCCCTCGGAGTACCGCACGCACTGCTGGTACGTCTTCTCGAAGCCGCCCGGGCCGCCGTAGTACGGGTCCTCGATCACCTTGCCGTCGCCAAAGTCGCCAAAGAGCGCAACTGCGGGCGAGACGGACGAGCGGGTCAGCTCCAGTGCGACGAGAGAGGGAGGAGGGACGCACTCTTGGCCGTCGAGTTCTTGGGTTTGGCCTTGTCAATGTTGCACATGTTCATCGTGTCCATGCCGACGATGTAGTCGAACGAGGTAAAGTCCGACTTCTGCGAGCGGGACGAGCGAAAGGGTGAGCCTGCGCACGGGAGAGAAAGAGAGAGCGAGGCGAGGGCGCACCTCGAGTTGCCGGCACAGCGAGTTGATGGGCACGCCGTGCTTCCTGCACGTCTCGACTGATCGCTCGTCGGGCTCCTCGCCGACGTGGTAGCCGGCCGTCCTGCGCACGACGACGAGGTCGAGGTCAGCGGCGACTTTGCGGTGAACGAGGAGGACAGGAGAGAGAGAGGTGGGCGCACCCCGCCGAGTCGACCTGAATATCGAGGCCGCGCTTCTTGGCCATGTCGGCAAAGACCGCCTCGGCGAGCGGCGAGCGGCAGATGTTGCTGTGCGGCGACGGGGCAGCGAGGGGGTTGCGAGGTCGAGATGGGCGGGTGGGGGCGATCGAGGGGGCATGGAAAGGGTCCAGTGTCAGCTTTGCGCGCTCTGCTGATCGCACGCTGCGCTGTGTGTGGCCGCAGCGCCGTTGCGAGCGGGCTGGCCGACCCCGGCTCCCGCCTCGCTGCTCGCGCCCTCGTGCGCCCCGCCCGGCCTGACAGAGGTGACGAGTGGACTCACCCAAGGCAGACGAAGAGGACGCTGGGCATCTCGAGAGGCGAGGAGGGGTGTGGGAGAGCGAGAGTTCGGCACCGCCTCATCTTCGAAAGAGATGAGAGGGTCATCTCTCGACCGCAGCCTGACGCTACGTGAGGGGTCGAGCAGCCAGCGATGCAGCTGTATGACAGGTTGGCCGCCGCGCGAGCTCGCACGAGCCGACACAGACGAGAGCTTCCCTCTCGACCTCAAGCTTTCGAGCGGACGACGCCGACAGCTGCGGAAGGAGGGTGAACAGATGTTGTCGTGACGCTACAGAGCTATGAGGGATACAGGAGAGCAGGGTTGGGGGTACAGGGCAAGAAAGGAGGACGATACAGAGCCTCGACGGGCGCGAAAGGACTCAATGCAGCGCGGGCGACAGTGGCATGACCGTCACCGGCGAGCGCATGAGCACGTCCTCTGTCGGGAAGGGCGAGCTCGACGTCCGCGGCGAGTCGAAGGGAGAGGCGCCTCGGCTGACGCCGGACGAGGTGGCGAAGAGCGGGAACAGAGGCGGCTCGACCACGGGGAACGTGTTCGACAGGATGAACTCTTTGAAGATGTGCGCAAAGTGCGGCTTGCGCGGGATGTAGTGGCTGTCGGCGGGGGGCCAGAGAGAGGGTGAGTCTGTGCGCACAGCTCGACTCGACGGGCTTGGGAAGGTCGAGAGAGAGAGAGAGTGTGTGTGTGACTCACCCTCCTTCGTGCCACTCGACGCGCGAGTTGGAGAACCGCGGGACGTTGGCGAGCGTGCGCTCGTTCGGGGCGACGACGTCGCTGCGGCCGAGGACGTGCAGCGTCGGGATGGCGACCGGCGAGTCGAACCAAGACTCGCACCGCCGGTCGAGGGGCAGGTACCCGCTGCACAGGACGGCGAACTTGAACGGTACGGGCGGCCAGGCGACGCCGGGCGACGCCGGCGACGAGAAGGCCGGGTGCAGCCAAGGGCGGGCGACGAGGGCACAGAGGATGGCGGCCGTCGCGGCGCCTTGCGAGAACCCGAAAATGCCATCCACCGGCCCTTCCCTCTCGAGGACGGTGCGCAGGTAGTACAGGGTGCGGTCGAGCTGCAGGGAGCGACAGTCGTCGGCTCGAGGTCTCGCGCATGATAGAAGAGAGAGAGAGCGGGCGCACCTCGCGAGGGTCCTCGAAGCCGTCGTTCGACTGGGCGTGCCACCACGAACGAGGCTCGTCTTTGGGCGCGTACGGCTCGTCCGGGCTGTTGTCGTAGGCCATCGTCGGCCGAAGGAGGATGTTTGGCTGCGAGAGGAAGAGGAGGGTCAGCTCGAGGCGACGGGCGAGAGGGACAGGTGCCGGCCGACGAGGACGCACCGCATCGACAAAGATGAGCTCGACGTGCCCGTCAAAGATGCGCTCGGCTTGTGCGAGCTTGGCCGCTGTAGGTGCACTCGAGAGTCAGCTCGACGTGCGTGCGCTCGAGGAGAGGGGAGGAGAGGTAGGGCTCACCGAGGATGCGGCTGTTTTGCGCGAAGCCGTGGAGAACGAGGACGCGAGCCTTCCGGTTGAGCATGTCGATGCGTGGGTAGGTAACGAATGTAGAGGGTGGGAGAAGCACACGAGAGCACAGCGAGCAAGGGGAGCGCAGGAGGGAAGAAGAGGACGAGCGGGCCGTCCAGCAGCGAGCGCCGGCTCGCAGGTGGGGGCCCAGCTCTGAGCGTGGCTGGACCCAGGGCTCGCGCGCAAGTCCATACAGCTCCAACCCCTGTGCGGGACGAAGCGTCGGCCGCGACTCTAAGGTCGGATCCGAGACTGCCAGCCCGCCGCCGCGTTCGGAAGGCGCAAGCAGAGATGACCTGCCCCGAGCGGTAGCCACTCTGCGGCGCTCGCTCCAGCTGCACCAGCAGACAGCGCCGATCGCATAGAGCAGAGTACTCATGGACGGGCTCGGTGCGGGAGCGGCGGCGTGAGCTCTGGACGAGAGAGCGGCAGGGGCCGACTGCCGGCCGAGGAGGGCCGCGGTCGAGACGGCTGGCCGGTCGGCGAGGAGTGCGGCCTGGTCGAAGCGTTCGAGTGGGTCGGTCGGATCGATGCTGGCGGTAGAGGTGGGGCGCAGGTCGGAGGCGAGGGTGAGGGTCGGCTGACGAGGGGAGGGGGAGGACGAGGTGGGGACGACACGCTCGAGGCGTACGGTGGCGGTTGCCGAGCGGGTCCTGGGCCAGCTGTGGCACTCTGGCAGGCGGCCATGGACGCCGGCGACGAGCCGGTGGTTGACAGGAGAGCGGCCACTCGAGCCAACGGCCGACCTCCATCAGCTCGCGCCGTCGACACGCCCTCGGCTCGTCGACCGCTGCTGGGCCACCGAGCACGAGCTGCCTCGGCGTCTGCGACTGCTCGCGCGAGACCGCGGCCGCAACAGGACGGTGAGCGGTCGAGGGGCCGCCTCCTCCCTGCGAGGCCGCAGCTGGCGGTCGCGGTACGGGTACGGCGACACAGCCTGCGCGTGCTGTTGTGCGGGCTCTCGGGCGGGCGTGTGCGAGTGCAAGCAGCGGCGCGCGAGCCGCACACAGCCCGTCACCCCCGTGGTCGGCCGTTTGCTCGCCGCGCTCCTCCTCGTCGCGTCGCGCGCCTCTCCAACGGCTCGTTTGCATCCCTCGATCCCTCGACCGTTGCATCCTCGCTGTCGACGACATTGTCGACCGCCGTCGGTGCTTCTCTCTCCCTCGCCCTCCTCCTCGTCGCCTTTCACCGCGCACCCTCGCCGCCTCGACCCGATTCGGACGCCCGCCCACCCTCGCCCTTTCGCGCTTTCACTCAACGCTCCCCTCTTCTTCACCCAACTCGACCCACCCTCGTCATGCGCACCGCCTCGGTCCTCGCCTTCCTCGTCCCGGCACTCGCCTACGCCCAGTCGAACGGGCCCTCGCAGCTCCGCTTCGACTCGCCCGCACACGCCGCGCGCCAGGGCAGGCCCGACCGGCTCCAGGCCTCGCGCCCCTCTCGCGGCGGCGCCAACCCGTCGGTCGTCGTGCGCGTCGTCGACCCGGCCGCCCCCTCCTCGGCCAAGATGGCGCCCTCGATGGGCTGGTACCCGGCGGAGGACGTGCTCGACCCGGTCCAGGACGACTCGCCCAACTTTGGCGCCGCGTGCTCGTTCGACAACCCGTTCAAGACGTGCGGCGACTACTTTGACGAGGCGTCGGGCGTCGACCACGGCCTGTTCTGCAGCCCAACCGGTGTGTGCGGCGGCAGGGGCGCAGCGTGCGGCGCGACCGAGGCATGCGGTGACGGTGCGTCCCCTCACCTTCTTCTCGTGCACTCGACTCTGCTTTCAAGGCGCACAGGCTGACTCTTTGCCTCTACCTGCAGGCCTGAGCTGCAACCTGTCGACCCACCGCTGCGTCGCCACGACCGCCAAGCTCCTCTCGATCGACTCGGCGCGCAAGGCCGCCCGCCGCCAGTCGGCCGCCTCGCGCTGCCCCGACGGCGCCGAGGCCTGCCCGTCCGGCATCGGCGGCTTCGAGTGCGTCTACACGGCGTTCGAGGACACGTCGTGCGGCGGGTGCGTCGGGTTCGGCGGCCGCGACTGCTCGGCCATCCCGAACGCGCTCGCGACGAGCTGCCGCAGCGGCGCGTGCGTCGTTCACGCCTGCTCGGGTGGGTACGAGCCCGGCGACGACGCGTCGGACTGCGTCGACGCGATGGTCTGAGCGCGCTCAGGAGGCGGTTCTCGTCGGTCCCCCGAGTGTGTCTCTCCTCGGCCTTGTTGTACTCTGTCACCCTCGTCCCAGCATTATGTGCCCCCATCACGACTACATCCTGCATTGTCCAGCACCCATCTCGCGCGCTCGAGCGCATGAACCGCTCGAGAGCCGAAAGCGTCCCGCTTCTCTCGCTCCTTTGCGACCTTAAAAGCTTTAAAAGCCTTATATATTCTTTTTTTTCTTATAAAACTTAAAACCTTAGAGGCTATTTAAGTTGCTGATTTATATTAATTTTATTGTTCAAACATGAGAGCTTAGTACGTGAAACATGAGAGCTTAGTACGTTAGCCATGAGAGCTTAGTACGTTAGCCATGAGGGTTTAGTTCGTTAAACATGAGAGCTTAGTACGTTAAACATGAGAGCCGTTCCGCCCTCCTCCCTCCTTAGTACGTACTATCAACAGGCTCCTCGACAAGATGGCGGGCATCATGTCGCCGATCGCCGGCGAGACCAAGAAGCGGACCTGCTACTTCTTCGACTCGGGTGCGTCCCTCTCCCAGCTCCTCGAGCGGTCAGGTCGCGGCCCACCGGCTCGTCTCCTCGTGAGCGAGGGCAGGTGTCGCGATGAAACGTTTGCGCACCCTCGCTGACCGTGCCTTGCCTCTCACAGACATTGGAAACTACCGTACGTCCTCTTGCTCACTGCCACAGTCCCCTGCGTCTGCTGACAGCCGGCTCTCGCCCTCCCCCTCCCTCCCCTCCTCTCCTCGGCACTCTCGCAGACTACGGCCCGTCGCACCCGATGAAGCCGCACCGCATCCGCATGACGCACTCGCTCGTCATGAACTACGGCCTGTACAAGAAGATGGAGATCTTTGTGCGTCCTCGCTCTCTCCCTCTCTTCGGCTCTCTCGCTCTCTCCCGACCGGGCTGACCTCGCTTGCCGCCCATCTCGCAGCGCGCAAAACCCGCCACACGCAAGGAGATGGCGCAGTTCCACACGGACGAGTACGTCGACTTTCTCGGGCGCGTCACGCCCGACTTGGTCGAGGCGGCGGCTGAGGGCAGCGGTGGGCCCAAGGTCGCAGGGCTCGCGAGGGAAATGAGCAGGTGTACGTCCTTCTTTCCCCTCGCCCCTCTCTCGTCTCGGTCGAAGGGACGCACTGACTCTGGGACCCGCCCGCAGTCAACGTCGCCGACGACTGCCCGGTCTTTGACGGCCTCTTTGAGTACTGCTCGATCTCGGCCGGCGGTTCTATGGGTCCGTCGCCGTCCTCTCATCTCCTCTATCCGGCTCGTCAGAGACTCGAGCGCTGACATGGCCTCAACCCATGCGCCTGCAGAGGGTGCCGCTCGGCTCTCGCGCGACAAGTGCGACATCGCGATCAACTGGGCCGGCGGCCTGCATCACGCCAAGAAGGCCGAGGCGAGCGGCTTCTGCTACATCAACGGTGCGTCGAGCCCGATTGCCTGATTCTACTGCCTGCCGTGGCCGGTCACTGACTCGCCCTCGACGACCCCCAGACATCGTCCTCGGCATCCTCGAGCTCTTGCGGTACCACCCTCGCGTCCTGTACGTCGACATCGACGTCCACCACGGCGACGGCGTCGAGGAGGCGTTCTACACGACCGACCGCGTCATGACGTGCTCGTTCCACAAGTACGGCGAGTTCTTCCCGGGCACGGGCGACCTCAAGGACATCGGGTACAACAAGGGCCGCAACTACTCGGTCAACGTGCCGCTGCGCGATGGCATCAACGACGACAACTACCGCAGCGTGTTTGAGCCCGTGCGTCCCGTCAATCCCTCGCGCATGTCGCCGTCGTCGCGCTCGAGCCTCACTGACTCTCTCTCGCCCTCGCCGTTGACAGGTCATCTCGCAGATCATGGAGTGGTACCAGCCGTCAGCGGTCGTGCTGCAGTGCGGCGGCGACTCGCTCTCGGGCGACCGTCTCGGCACCCTCAACCTCTCGATGCGCGGTCCGTCCCCTCGACCTCTCTCCTCCTCGCTCCCCCTCTCGTCCTGACGGCGCTCGAGCTCTCCCGCCTCTAGGTCACGCCAACTGCGTCCAGTTCATCAAGTCGTTCGGCCTGCCGCTCCTCATCCTCGGTGGCGGCGGCTACACGATCCGCAACGTCGCACGGACCTGGGCGTTCGAGACGGGCCTCGCTGCGGGCATGGAGCTCGGTACCAGTGCGTCCCTCCTTCCTCTCTGCCTCTCTCTCTCGTCGCTGTGTGGAGCTCTTGCCCGCCTCTCGATCGTGCCCTCACTCACGCTCGAGCCTCTCGCGCGCAGACATCCCGATGAACGAGTACTACGAGTACTTTGGCCCGACGTACCGCCTCGACGTGCCGCAGAGCAACACCGAGGACATGAACACGCCCGAGTACCTCGACAAGATCAAGGCGCAGGTGTTCGAGAACCTGCGGCAGACGGCCGGCGGCGCGGCCCCGAGCGTGCAGACGCAGCGTGAGTCGCTCAAGGCGCGCGCGTCGGTCGCCCTGCTCCTCATCGAGCAGGCATACTGACTACATGCCCTTGGACCGCCTCGCAGCTATCCCGAGGACGGCGATGGACGAGGACGACGACGTCGAGGAGGACGAGCGGGATCCCAACGTCCGGCGGCACCGTGCGTCCGCCTTTCTCTCCCTCTCTCGGCCTGCCTCGCAGCGCCAGCAGTCGGTCTGACTCTCTTGCCCACTCTCCTGCAGAGGCCGAGGTCGACCGACGAATCCAGCGCGACGACGAGTTCTCCGACTCGGAGGACGAGGGCGAGGGCAACCGCCGTGACCGGCAGTCGCACCGCGGCGGGTCGGCTTCGCGCAAGGCCGCCTCGGCAACCGCGAGGTCCAAGTCGCCGGCACCTGCAGCTACCGCCGCCGCCGCCCCGACCTCGATCCCGACCGAGGAGAGCTCGGCTTCGGCTGCAGCACCCGTCGACGCTCCTGTCGCGACCGCCGTCGCCCCCTTGCCGGCCAACGTCACCTGCGGCACCGAGGAGCTCCTTCCGCCGCTCAAGGCGACGAGCACGACCAACGGCGGCAGCGCGAGCGGGTCGGCGACGGCCGAGACGGCTGCGGCGCAGGAGGGCGCGGCCGAGGGCGACGCCGACATGCGCGAGGCGGGCGAGATGCCGGTGCAGGGGACGAGTGCGGCGCGGATGACGACCGAGGCAGGGCCGGGCGAGGACGATGCGCGTGGCCCGCCGACGACGACGGCCGGCGAGGAGGAGGGAGCCGACGTCGAGATGAAGGAGTGAGCGCGAGAGTCGTGCTTCTCTCTCTTCTCTGCAATGTTGTGACTGCTTGTTGCATTTCGACTAGCCTGACAGGAGAGCAGGCGTCGCGCAGAGAGAGAGAGAGGGACGGACAAAGTCCGCGGCGATGTGGTGGTCGAGCTTGGAGCCAGCTCAGCCGGGCGAGCGAGAGAGCTCTCGTCGCTCCTCCACGACCACCGGCACCTGCTGCCTGTGAGCCTGCCAGCTAGCCGCACACCGAGCAGTTCACCACTCGACAGCCATGGGCAAGAAGTCCAAGCCCGCCACGGCGCCTCGCACGACCGCCATCAACCCGGCCGCGGTCGCAACCATCCTCACCGCCTTCTCGCCGAGCACCGCCGCTGCCGGCCCGAGCTACTACGCCCACCTGCACGCTGCACCCGACGCCCACACCCTGCGCGTGTACGACCTCGACGGCAAGTGCGTCTCGCGCTGGGCGAGCAACGCCAACAGCGACGCCCAGGACGAGGCCGACGAGCCCCGCGTCAAGTCGCTCGCGTGGTGCTGGGTCCCGCCCGCATCGGCGCACGACGCCCAGGGCGACGGCGGTGCCGCGGGCGACGGCAAGCGCGGCAAGAAGCGGAGAAAGAGCGACGGTGGAGCGGCGGCCGACTCGCCCGCCAAGCCGTCGTCGTCGTCGTCGGCGGCGCTCAAGCCCCAGTTGATGCTCGCCCTCGGCCTCGAGAGCGGCGCCGTCCTCCTGTGGCACCCGCTCGGCACCGCGTCCCGCACCTTGTCCCACCCGACCTCGGCCTCGCCCGTCACCGCCCTCGCCGTGCCCGTTTCTCCCTCCGCCAGCGCCGACGGCCACCTGTGGTCGGCGCACCAGGACGGCGCCGTGCGCGTGTGGGACGTCGTATCGGGCGCGCTCGTCGGCAAGGTCGGCGGCCTCGCCGAGGAGCCGCGCTGGGACGACCTCCTCGTGAGGTACGAGCCGGCGTCCGAGGAGGGCGGCAAGCGCACCGTGCATCTCGTCCTGTCGCACCTGTCGCTCCACGTCTACTCGGTCCACCTCGGCGCGGCGTCGAAGAAGGAGGGCAAGGTCCGCGACCTCAAGGCGACCGAGCTGGGCCGGTGCACGGGCCACGTCGAGCCGTGCTCGGTGCGGTGGACCGGCGCGTCGTCCTCCGCCGACTCGTCGTCCCCCGACGCCGACAAGCTGTCGTTCCTGTCGTACTCGCCGACCGACCGCTTCGTCCAGGTCTGGCAGATCGCCACCTCGACCCCGTCCTCGTCGCCCCACATCGGCCTCCTCCTCGCCCGCCTCGGCACCGACAGCGGCGTCTCGTCGGCGACCGTCTCGCCCCTCGCAGGCGACGTGCAGACGCTCGCCGCCGTCGACTCGGCGACGGGCAACGTGACGCTGTCGGCGCTCCCGCTCTCGTTCGCGCCGGCGGCAAGCCCGAGCAAGAAGGCCAAGAAGCACGCCGCGGGCGTCGTCGCGCTCGAGGCGCAGTGCGAGGTGACGGCGCCGACGCAGGGCGGCAGGAGCGAGGCGGGCGTCGCCGAGGTCGCGTTCCGGGCGAGCGACGAGGCCAAGGCGGTGCTCTGCCGAGGCGGCGTCAAGCCGGTCTTCGAGGTCGTCGTGCGTCCCCCTTTCACTGCCCCCCTTCTCTCCCATTGATCAGGCTACTGATAGCCCCTCTGTGCGTGCTTGCAGTCGTTCAAGGAGGAGGGCGCGTGGGTGTCCAAGGTCGAGCTTGCACGGAGTGCAGCCGGCCTCCTCGTCGCCAACGGCGCGACGGACTCTGCAGGCGCAGTGAGTCTTCCTTCGCTCTGTCGACGTCGACCTTGCGGCGGCCCGACACTGACTTTGCCCGCCTCTCTCCTCCCTCGTCTTCCCTTCTTCCCTCGTCCCTCCTCACCCTCTCTCGCCGCCTACGTTCGCCCCGTGCCGCAGCCCAAGCCGTCTCGCTACAGCGAGCACACGTCGTCGACGGCCGCCGCGACGGCCGCCCCTGATGCTGCCGCGGCGTCCGACGACGAGGAGGCGGTCAACGCCGGCGAGCTCGACGTCGATGCGGCCGAGCCCACGCTCGCCGACCGCCTCAAGGCGCTCAATGTGTCGCAGAAGAAGGAGCGCCGCAAGGCGGCGAGGACGGCCCGTCTCGATGACGACGTCGAGGTCGCGTCCGAGTCGAGCGGGTCCGAGGACCTGGACGACGACGATGTCGAGCTCGGCAGCGACGACGAGGACGCCGTCGGCCCGGCGGTGCCGGCGACGACCCTCACGACGACGCTCGTCCAGGCGCTGCACTCGCAGGACGGCCCGCTCCTCGAGTCGTGCCTCGCCCACTCGAACTACAACCTCGTGCGCTCGACCGTCAAGCGCCTGCCGTCGGGTGGCCTCGTCCTGTCGCTCCTCGAGGCCATCGTCGACCGCCTCGGCAAGCAGAAGAAGGGCCGCGAGGGCCTCGCGTCGCCCAAGCGCGCTCGTGCCCTCGTCGGCTGGCTCCGCGAGACGCTCGTCGTCCACGTCGGCTTCCTCGTCACGGTCCCGTCGCTCGTGTCGCGCCTCGCGGCGCTCCACGCGAGCCTGACGCAGCGCCTCGCGCTGCAGCAGCCGCTCCTCGCGCTCCAGGGCCGCCTCGAGCTCGTCATGAGCCAGATCGACCTGCGGCAGGACCGTGCGCGGGCCCAGACGGCGCGCAGCGGCGGCAAGGCGATCAAGGCGGCGCCCAAGGGGACGCGGTACGTCGAGGGTGAGAGCACGGACGACGAGGACGAAGAGCTCGGCGAGGGACTCGAGGGCGAGGACAGCGAGGGCGATGTCGAGGACGTCGTGCTCGGTCCGGGAGGGGACGACGACGAGGACAGCGGCGAGTCGGACGGGTTCGGCGAGATCGACGACGACGATGTCGACTCGGACTTTGACGACGAGGAGGACGGCGAGGGCTCGAAGGTGCCCCGGCACAAGGTCCGTCACGCTTTCCCTCCTTCCTCTTTCTTTCCTTCCATTCCTGCGCCTCTTGGCGCCTCGTTCCCGTGCCCTTAACGAGCGTGTTCTGACGATCTTGCCCTCTCTCTCTGTCGCTCTCCCTCTCGCAGCGCAACGGCGTTGCGTCGCTGCTCGACCTCGAGGCCGAGGACGACGACGACTTTGACGAGGACGACGAGTCGCTCGACGGCGGCGAGGACCTGTCGGACGACCCAGAGGCGGGCGAGGACGAGGAGTTCGAGGCGTGAGTCGCTCTCGGCGTCGCTCGACACGAGCGCGATGTCAAGAGCGTGCGGGAGGAGCGCACGCGGCGGGCTCGAGGAGTAGAGTGTATCGGGGGCAGCCCGCGCTCCTTCTACCGTCACAACTATCACATTCCGCATCGTCTGCAGCTCTCGAGTCGTGCGCCCTGCTCGAGCGCGAGAAAGCTGTCTCGTCGCGAGAAAAGACGCTCCGTCGTCGAGCGCACGAGCTTCTTTCGTGGTGCTTGCAAGGAGAGCTTACGCTGAAGCTCGTCGAGCGCCCGTCACTGCAAGCAGACTGGCGAGAAAAGCTGTCGCACGTGAAGCGGCGCGGGACGAGAGAGCTGGGACGAACGGCAGAACGGCTTGCTCTCGCTCCATCTGCCTACCAGCGCGTGAGTCCACCTTGCGAACCTGCAGGCGAGCCTCGTGTACGCACAGCTGACCTCTCTGCCCCCACCAGGCGCGCCCTTGTCACCAGCACAAGCTTTCCCCTCGCCGCCTTCCTCGCCCCCCCTCGCACACCAACCTCTCCACGCCCTCCCACCATGTCCTTTGGAGGTCCCGGTTCCGCCTTCAGCTTTGCTGCGCCGACTCGGCCGTCCCGCCGCGGCAACGGCTCGTCTGGCTCGTTCAGAGACGTCGCCGCCTCGGCCGCCAACTCTTCCTCGCCCGCGGCCCACCCTCCTTCCTCGGCGCACGGCGGCCCGAGCCCGGTCGTACCGCCCGCCCAGCCGTCCCTCGGTGCCTTCTCGCCCGGCGCCGAGCGCGACAGCTTCCTCCAGAACGGCGCCAACGGCACCTCGCTCGAGCACGACCAGGCGCCGCATCAGCAGCAGCAGCAGCAGCCCCAGTCGCAGCACCAGTCGCAGGCGGCGCGGTCCTTCTCGGCCATTGTATCGCCCGGCGCGTCGGCCAACGGCGCAGACGGCGCAGACGGCGACGGCGGCGTCTCGGGCAAGCCGTTCGTCTACTCGCGCGAGCTCCTCCTGAGCCTGTACGACGAGGACAAGGCCAAGCGGCGCCCGATCGAGCTCGCCACGCACGAGACGGCGACGAGGGACCTGTCGGGCTCGAGCGGCTCGAGCCACAAGCCGTGGCTCCTGCAGGACTATCGCGAGGGCGAGAAGGAGGTGCGTCGTCGGCTCTCTCTTTCGCTTCTGCGCGTTGCCGAGTCGAGAACTCGGCAGCGTGCATGCCAGTGGTAGAACGAGACTGAGGATTTTGCCCTCTCGCAGCTGTTCTCGACGTCGATCCACCCGCCCAACGTCCGCCCGTCGCGCCTCAACCGCACCGACTCGTCCCTCTCGGCCGCAGGCGCGACCTCGAACGGCGCGTCGGCCACGCTCGACTTGTCGTCACTCGGCACCCTGCCTCGTGACCGCGATCGCGGGCTCGGCTCGCCGTCGCTGCGCTCGCCCAGCATCGAGAAGGACATCCTCGCCGCCGGTCGCGACCGCCGCACACGCGAGCGCTCGGCGGGCCCGCCGCCGCTCGGTATCACGGGTGGCGTCCTCGGCGGCATCCTCGGCTCGGTCGCGACCCCGGCCAAGAAGAAGGACGAGCTGGCGGCGGGCACAGGCGCGTCGGCTGAGAAGAAGGACGGCGTGTGGCAGGGTGGACGCTGGAGGCGTACTGCTCAGGAGGCTGAGGAGGCCGAGAAGGTGCGTCCCAGTCCTTTCGAGCCTGTCCTCGAGCGCACGAGCCCTGACTGTCCCCCTTCCCGACCTGCAGCAGCGCACCTCGGCCTTTGGCTCTCGCCGCTTCCCTCTGCCCGACGACGAGTCGAGGGCGTCCTCGCTCGGCGACAACGGTGCTGTCCCTGACTCATGGGAGGAGCGCAACGACAACACGCCGCCGACCGGCTCGGCCGCCCTCAACGGCGAGGCGCTCTCGAACGAGCCCGACCTCGCCGCGAGCGTCCTCGGCTCGCTCGCCCTCGACGACCCGTCCGACGACGCGCTCCTCGCCAATCCGTCGGCCTCGTCTGGCGCCGCCACGCCGTCGCGCGCAGCGCCGCCGCCCGGTCTCGGCGCGTTCCCGCCGGCCGAGGTCATGTGGCAGTACCGCGACCCGTCGGGCCAGGTCCAGGGCCCGTTCTCGGCGGCGACCATGCACGACTGGTACCGCCAGCAGTTCTTCACGCCCGACCTGCGCGTCAAGCGCACGACCGACACCGAGTTCGAGTCGCTCGAGAACCTCATCCGCCGCACGGGCGACTCGGACAAGCCGTTCCTCGCGCCCAAGCCGTCAGCCCCGACCTCGGCCTTCTCGAGCGCGCCGGGCACGCCGCAGGGCGCGTCGAGCTGGGGCGCGTCGAGCGCTCGTGCGCAGACGCCGCTCGAGCAGCTCACGGCGGCGGTCGCGCAGGGCCGCTTTGGCAGCGCCGCACCGGGCTCGTCGCTGTACGAGTCGTTCGGCAGTGCCGCGCCGAGCCCCGCACCCGAGCCGCAGACGCTCCCGCAGTCGGCGTTCGGCCAGGCGCCGTCGTCGCTCGACCCGTGGGGTGCGCCTCTGCCGTCGGCCGGCGGCGCGCCGTCGTGGAACGGCCTCGGCGGCGCTGGTCTCGGTCAGCAGCAACAGCAGCAGCATCACCTGTTCCAGCCGCAGCAGCCGCTTGCGTCGCCCGGCGCGCCGCTCCAGTCGCCGATGGACCTCCTTCGCCAGCTCGCCCAGCAACAGCAGCTCGGCCAGCAGCTCGGCCAACAGCAGCAGCAGCAGCCGTTCGGCCAGCAGGGCCTCGGGCACGACATGTTCGGCCGCCCGTCGCTCCCGTCGTCGCCCTTCTTCGACCCGAGCCAGCTCGCGCCCGGCGCCGGGTCCGCCTCGCCGAGCTCGTGGCTTCAGCAGCAGCTCTCCCAGCAGCAGCAGCACATGCAGCAGCCGCAGCAGCCGTGGGCGTCGCTCGCGGGCAACCAGGCCGCCATGTCGTCGCCGCTCGCCCAGTTCGCCCAGGCGCCGGGTGCGGGCGCGCCGTCGCCCGTCGGCCGCCCGGCCCAGGTCCAGTCGCCGTTCGCGCAGCCCGCTCAGCAGCACCAGCAGCACCACCAGCAGCACCACCAGCAGGCGCCGCCGCCGCCGCACTCGCCTTGGGGCTCGGTTCAGCAGTCTCAGCAGGCCCCGGCCGTCGAGCAGCAGGACGCTCCGCGTGTCGCCGAGCTCGCGCCGCCCATCCCGATCGTCCCTGCGTCGGCTCCTGCTGCCGAGGAGGCCAAGTCGGCGCCTGCTCCGGTCGAGGCGCCCAAGCCGGCCGCCACCAAGGCCGCGTCGCCCGTCGTCCAGGCCAAGGCCGCTCCCGCTCCGGCCGCGCCGGCGGCTGAGCCGTCGCCCTCGCCGTCGCCCGCCCCGTCGGCGTCGTCCAAGGCCGGCGCATCGGCGCCCTGGGCCAAGGAGGAGAAGGTCGCCGCCGTTGCGCCCGCCGCGCCGTCGCCGTCGCTGCGCGAGATCCAGGAGGCCGAGGCGCGCGAGGCCGCCAAGCGCAAGGAGGCCGCTCGCGTTCAGGCGGCGCAGGCTAACATCCAGGCGGCGCAGCGTGCGGCCGCCCTCGAGGCGCAGGCGGCGTCCGAGACGCTCCCGTCGTCGGCGAGCTGGGCTGCGGGCCCTGCCCAGGTGCCAGCGCCTAAGGCTCCCGTCGGCGGCGCCGCCCCGTGGGTCAAGCCTGCCGCTGCGGCGAGCCCTGTCGCGGCCGCCAAGACGCAGCAGAAGACGCTCAAGGAGATCCAGGAGGAGGAGGAGAAGCGCAAGAAGGCGCAGCTCGCCGCGCAGCAGCAGGCCGGCCAGCCCGCTGTCGGCAAGGGCTACGCCGGCACGGCGCAGCAGGCTGCCCCGCAGGTCGGCGGCGCGTGGACGACCGTCGCCGTCAAGCCCGCCGTCGTCGGTCGCCCGGCGGCGCCCGGCGCCAAGCCGGTCGTTCCTGGCCTCCCCTCGACGGCTTCGAGCTCGGCTGCCGCTCGCGTTGCCGGCTCGACCGGCCTCCCGGCCAAGCCCGCCGCGAGCCCTGCGCCTGCCGCCGCCGCCGCCGCTCGCCCGGCCGCCGCGTCCGTCATCACGGCCGCCGTCCCTGCGCGCTCGGGAACCTCGGCGCCTCGCAGCGTCAACGTCAACGGCTCGTCGTCGACGACGACCGTGTACGACATGGAGAACCCGCCGCCGCCGTCGCCCGAGTTCCTGTCGTGGACCAAGCAGGCGCTCAAGGGCCTGAACGTGCCTCGTGCGTCATCGTCCCTCTCTCTCTCTCTCCTATCTTTTCCTCTTTCGAGAGAGCCCACTCACTGACTCGCGCTTTCCGAGTGTCCTGCAGTCGACGAGTTTATCCAGATGCTCCTGTCGTTCCCGCTCGAGGCGTCGGCCGACGTGCTCGAGATCATCTCCGACTCGGTGTACGCCAACTCGTCGACGCTCGACGGGCGCCGGTTCGCGACCGACTTTACGACGCGCCGCAAGAACGACGTCGCGGTGCGGTACCCGAGCATCTTTGCCAAGGGGACCGTGCGCACGGCGGGCAAGCCGTCGAGCATGGCGGCCGTGCTCGCCGCGACGCCGGCGCCCAAGGCGAGCGAGTGGAACGTCAAGGTCTCGCAGAAGAAGAAGAAGGGCGGCGCCGGCGGCGCCAAGTGAGCGTGCGAGCGTGCGAGGGCCGTCGTCCATGTAGCCGTAGCCGGTCGACGACGAGCGTCGTCGAAAATGAGCAACTCCGCGCTCCCTCTCTCTATCTCTCTCTCTCTTTCTCTCTCTCTGGTCCCTCGAGAGTATGCAGTGTGAGCGCATCGCGAGATTGTCCATTGCGCTCGGCAGGCTGCGAGGCGGATACGCCGAAGAAGGTGCTCGAGGAGCGGGAAAACCGAGGAGAAGGGGGCACAGAGAGACGCAAGTCTATACAGCTCGGCAGGGCGAAAGAGAAAGGGAGAGAGAGGAAGTGGAGGGGAAAAGGCGAAATAGGGAGAGAGTTCGTCGCCGGCGGCGTCGTCGACGAGGAGAACGAGGTCCATCGGCTCCCCCTCGCTCGAGTGTCTGTGGATAAGGGAGGTTTTGCTGGCCAAAGGCGAGCGCTACATGAGGATGGGGGTCACAGAAGAGGTTTCGAGAAAGAGAGAGAGAGAGGAAAGGAAGGGAGGAGAGGGTCCGGGCGAAGGAGGTCACTGCGCCTCGACGACGGCGCCCGACACGCCCTCGTCGCGCGCCTCGAGGCCCTGCCCGCCGAGCACGACCTCCCGCTCGTCGTGCGCCACCGCCGCCGCCGCCGCCGCCGAGCGCACCTTGCGGCACCTCCCCTTGCCGCCCTTCTCGCGACGGAAGCCCGCATCGAGCTGCCACCCGACCTGACACGTGTAGACGTGGCACGCGCCCGACTCGCACGTGACGCCCTGCGCGCCGCGGATGGCCGTACAGTCCTCGCCGTGGCCCTTGGAAGCTGCGAGAGAGGGGGAGAGGCGGGTTCGGGAAGGTCAGGTTCGGGGCTCGAGCGCACGCACGAGGGCGTTGTGCGACGGGAGAGAGAGAGAGGGACGCACTGCAGCCGCCGCACGACTCGAGCTCGGAACGCGTGTCGAGGCACTCGTAGCTGCACGGGTGCGAGGAGGAGAGTCAGGATCCTTGAACTGCTCGTGTCGAGCGAGGCGAGCGGAAAGTCGGCGACGCACGTGCCCATGCGAGGGAAACTGCGACGAGGGGACGCTCGACGTGTCAGTGAGAGGTATCTACGATTGAGAGAGACGGGAGGAAAGAGGGCTCGAGGACGCACATTGGGCAAGCCTGCTCGCCAACCGGGCACAGCAACCTCGAGTCGAGCGTCTCCCACGGCTCCTCGCGAATCGCGCGCTTGACGTAGTCCCACACCTTCTCGGCCTTGCCCCGGGCGTCGTACAGCGCCGACGGCTGCGGCTGCGGCTGCTGGGCGTGCTGGCTCGCGCCGTGCGACGGCGCACTGTGCGACGCCGACGCCGCCTGACTCGCGCCGGGCTTCCCCTTGTCGCCGCCGCCGTGCGCCGCCTGACTCGCGCCCGGCTTCTGCGCGTGCGCGGCCTGGCTCGCGCCCGGCTTCTGTGCATGCGCGACCTGGCTCGCGCCGGGCTTCTGCGCGTGCGCGGCCTGGCTCGCGCCGGGCCTCTGCGCGCCCGCGCCCGCGCTCGCGGTCGCGGTCGGGTACGCGGCCGAGGGCCCGTTGTTGTAGTTGCGGCGCTGGAGGGCGGCGTGCGAGGCCCAGGCGGGCGAGGGCGAGGGCTTGCCCGCGAGGGCGTGCGACGGGCGCGGCGAGGCCGACGCCGAGGACGAGGACGAGGCGGCAAAGGCGTTCGAGACGCCTGTTTTCGGGCATGCGGCGGGCGAGAGTCAGTCGACGGCTCGTAGAGGAGAAGGAGAGAGAGGAGAACGCACCCTTGATGAGGTCGAGGAGCTCGTCCGAGAAAGTGCGCTTGCGCGCGCCGGCGAGCCCGACCCGGCTCGTCTTTGTCGGGCTGCGCCTCTCCCTCAGCTGCTTGACCGTCGTCGAGATGCGCTTCGCGAGGTTGAGCTGGAACGCGGGCGCGTCGGTCGAGTTGGACGAGGGTGCGACGACGACGACGGCGGGGGCGGGCGAGGCGCGTGCGGGTGCGGGCGCGACGACGAGGGCGAGGAGCGCGGCGAGGACGACGAGGCAGTGGATGCGGTGGAGCATGATTGGTATGGGGACGAGGTACGAGAGAGAGAGAGAGGCGCGAGGACGAGGGGAAAGAGGGAGGAAGGCGGGTCGACGGAGTTTCCGGTGCGCGTGCGACGAGATGTCAAAACCCGAGGGCTCGAGGGGGGCGAAAGCCGAGGAAGCCGCGACGAGCAGAAGTGCGCGAAGGGCGACGGCGTGCGACTGAACGCGAGAGGGCGACGGCGACGGTGAGGAGGAAGGAGGAGGGGGCGACGAGAAGAAGCTCGCGAAACGAGGGGGGGCGAGCGGAGGCCGTGCGGGCTCGCTTGCTTCGGAAGCAGAATCGGGGGTGGGTTCCCTCGACCCAAGATTGACTGACCCACGCCGAGTCTGACCCGGGTCGGACCCAAGTCGGGAAAGCGAAGGCGCCGAAGGCGGGTCCACGCGAGCCGAGCGCTCGACGAGTCGGCGCCCCAGGCTGGGAACGCGCAGCGAGAACGCGCGGGCGGGCGACGAGCTCGAAGCGGCAGGCGAAAGCTGGGCGCGCAGCTTGAGCGCGAAGCCACTGGGCGAAAGAGGATGCTGCCTGGAGCCACGGTGCGCCGCCGAGTTGCCCGCTCGAGCGACAAGGCCAAGGTGCGATTGATCGCGGCCGGCCTGGCGAGTGCTGACGGGGGGCCGCTAAGCTGGACTGGGTTGGGAATGCGGGTCGAGTTGGACGAGATGGCGAGGGAGGCGGGTGGGCGAGGAGGCGGGCCTCGCCGTTCGAGGCGAGCAACCAGCTCGACAGCGCTGGTGCGCAGGAGCAGCGAGTCTGACGTCTTGGGAGCAGAGTACAGAGCAAGCAGCGGCCATGCAGCAGCTGCTGCTGAGCCTGGAGAGGTAGAGGAGAGGGAGGGAGGAGGAGGAGGAGGCGGGACTTGGGCGCGACGACGACAACGAGCTCCTCCCGCCTCGCTCGCAAGCCATGCTGTCCCGTGCTGCAGTCCAGTCCGCAAGAGGTGAGCCTGACACTCTCCCGAGCCTCTCCAAGACGCCCCGCAAGCTCACCGTCGCCCCCCTCGCTGCAACAGCTCCGCTCGGCGCCATCGCCTCGACTTCTCGCGCGACGGCCACCCTCACCTCGCCAGCACCGGCACCGTCCAGCCAACCCTCGCACGCCCGCCCCTTCTCGTCGTCCGCACCCGCCGAGGAATCCAAAGCCCGCCGCAAGACGCGCCTCGTCCGCAAGGCCAACCTCGAGAAGAAGGTCCAGCTCGTGCGACACAACGACCAGGCCCGCCCCGACCCCGTACATGGCTACCGCAAGGGCAACGACGACCTGTGGAACAAGTCGCTCCTGAACCGCATCCTCCTCCGCCGCGACGACGTGTGGGGCGACGTCGTCCAGGTCGACGGCAACTCGTCGTCCCCCTCTTCTTCCTCGTCGGCTGTCGTCAACGAGCAGGGCCAGAGCAGCAGCGGCGGCAGCAGCTCGGGCGACGGCACCCCGACGCGCTACACGCCCAAGCTGTTCAACTTTGGCCTCGACGCCGCCACGGCCGAGCAGCTGTCGTCGGTCCTCCCGGCAACCTCGGCCCTGCGCGCCACGCTCGGCGACGGCGAGGGCGGCGCGCCATCGAGCGTCGACGCCGTCGTCCTCGAGCGGTTTGAGCGCGCGACCGACGCCGAGGAGCGCAAGCGCGACGCCCTCATGCGCATCGTCGACCTGCGCAACGCCGACTCGAAGGGGATCGAGGTCGAAAACACGCGCAGGATCGCAGCCACCTTTGGCCGCACCCCGGGCGACACGGCGTCCCCCGAGGTCCAGGGTGCGTCCTGCCCCTCTCTCTCCCTCTCCCTCCTCCTCCTCGCGAACCCTCCTGACCCCCTCGCTCAATCGCGCGCAGCCGCCATCCTCACGATGCGCATCCGGTCCCTCTCGTCGCACCTCGTCTCGTCCCCTCGCGACGTCCAGAACCGCCAGGCGCTGCGCCTCCTCGTCGCGCGCCGCGCCAAAGTCCTCAAGTACCTGCGCGCCGTCAGCGTCGCCCGGTACGAGGAGTGCCTCGAGCAGATTGGGGTCGAGCCGAGGGCCGTCGAGGGCGAGGTCGTCGTGAGCAAGCAGGAGCTGAGGACCATGATCCGTGGGGCGTAGAGCGCGTTGCGCGAGGGCGGTGGAACGATGAGCAACAAGCACGTCTCTCTCTCTCTTTCTCGGCGCGAGCAGGAGCGGTCGAGAGAAGCTTTCCTGAGAGCTTGCCTTTCTCGTCTCTCGTCGAGTCGTCGCTCTCAAGCCTGTGCGAGAGAGAGTCATGCTGGGTTGTACAAAGAGAGCCTCCTCGTGAAGCTCGACTACGGCCCGCTCAGTCCGTCGATGCGCACCCTCGGCAACCTGTGCGAGACGTACTTCCTGTTCATCAGTACGAGCTCGACGCAGGACCGCGCCATGCCTGAGCTGGACAGAGAGAGAGAGCGCGCGCGACGCACCGCAGTGTGTGCACTCGACGATGACGCCCTCCTTGAGCTGCGCTTTCGGCACTCGGCAGATGCACGTCGAGCCGGCGTAGTTCATGTCCTGCGCCGATGTCGGGGTGTCGAGGAGGTCAGGGTGGAGGTCCGGCACGAGGTAGGAGAGGAGGAGGAGAGAGGGGACGCACCCTCGACTGGATGCACCGTGCGCAGCACAGCTTTTCGTACCCCGACTTCTTCCACTTGGCGATCAGGCTGCGCGCGAGAGGAGGGTCAGCGATCTTCCCTACTTCGAGCCGCTTGGGGCACGCCGTCGAGGACGGAGCGCTCGAGCGGCGAGTGGAGGAAGGAGCCGACTCACTTGGCGTCGGCGTACTCCTGCTTGATGAGCCAGTCGTACAGCTCCTTGGATATCGCTTCGCGCTTGTAGTACAGGTCGTAGATGTAGCTGCGCGGTGAGAACGAGGGTGGGTCAGACGACGTCGTTCAAGCAAGCGAGAGGCCACGGCAGGGCGAGGGTCTCTCGATAGAGGCGAGGCGCAGGCTGACGCACCGGCTGCGGGTGTGCGTGATGCGCATGATGGGCCACAGGCTCTCGGTCTTGCGCTTGCCCTCGTGCGTCTCGGCCTCGGCTGCGAGAGAAAGGGGAGGGCGAGGTCAGCATCGCTGCCTCGGCTCGGCAGGCCGCCTGTGCACCTCGGCGGCGCGGCAGAGAGCACAGGGAGAGAAGCGGGAGACGGACCGTCGCGCATCTTGCGGTTGTATTCCTCGAGAATGTCCTCGATCTCGTCGAAGCCTTCGGGAGGCGGCTTGGTGCGGCTGCGCAACAGGGAGGGGGACGGGTCAGAGGCACACTCTGGCGCATATGGAGAGTGAACCGGTGGCGCACTTGGTCTTGATCTTGGGCATGGCGGGCGAGACGACGAGGGTGGGGAGGTCGGGGAGGGAGATGAGGACGCGCGGCGGCGAGGGTGGCTCGGGGGGCGCTGCGACTTGGTGTGGGCGTGTCAAGTGGGCCGAGTGGTGGGACAAAGAGGCTTAGGAGCTCTCTGGAGCGAGTCGCGGTGGTGTGGGAAGTCGACCTCTCATCGCTCTCCTCCTCGCGGTTCGACTCGATGCTGCTCACTTCGCCTTGCCCTGGACCCGCTCCGGCAGGCTAGTCCACCTTCTACTGCTCTTTAAAGGCCAGCGCTGCTCTCTGCTCGGCTCGCTCTGCTGTCCTCGTCGAGTTCGCCCACGCTCCTCGCCCTCATCTACTTTGCCGGCAAACGCCACGAGCCCGGCTGTTTCTGCTGGTCTGCGTCGCTCAGGCGCACTGTCGAGTAGAGAGCGAGAGGCCCGGGGATAATCTGGAACCCGCTCTCCTGTGCTCGTCAGTGCTCGCGCCTCGTCCGGACGCTGGCTCCCCCTTCGTCTCGGCGTTGCGGCCCCGGCTCGCCCTCGCTCTTCTCTCTCGCTCTCCTCACTCACCCTAGTCCCGTCAAACTCGCCACCGACTCGCCATGGCCCGCCTCTCTACCCTCGCCGCCGCCCTCGCCCTCGCCAGCACTGTGCGTCCCACCTCTCGCCATCTCTGCATCGACGAGCACCGAGCTGACCGGCCCCCTTTCCTCCCACAGGCGCTCGCCCAGAACCTCATCAACACGCCCTCGCTGTTCCAGTGCACCGCCGCCGCCCTCACCTACCAGTGCGCCGCACCGCCGTGCACCGTCGTCGCTCGCCCCTCGGGCGACCAGACCCAGCAGCTGTGGTCCGGCGGCGAGGTCGCCGATGCGTCGGGCAGCGTCAGCTGGAAGCCGGTCAATGTCGCTGAGGGGACCGACGTGACGCTCTGGATCACGGACAGCAACGGCGCCACCGTCTCGTCGGCGTCGGTCACCGTCTCGGGCGGCTCGGACGACTGGTGCGTCATGCGCTCGCCATCTTGCCTGCACTCTTCTCGTTATCAAGACGATGTAGGCTGAGCTGGATCTCGCACCATGCGCAGCCTCTCGTCGTCGGGCTCGTCCGGCTCGTCGTCGACCAAGGCCGCCTCGTCGGCCACCAGCTCCGCCGCCGCCGTCGGTGCCGCCGCCACATCGGCCGCCGCCTCGGGCGCCTCCAAGGCCATGTCGGCTGTCTCGTCGGCCCTGAGCGGCTCGGCAACGACCTCGGGCGCCGCTGCTCCGTGAGTCGCATTCCTTCCTGCTCAACCTCGTTCGTCTCTCTCTCGAGATCCTGCCCCTGACTCTCTCGCCGCCTCGCGCCTCGCAGCTCGTCGTCCGGCGACTCTAACAGCGCCGCGGGCTCGCTCATCATTCGCGGCTCGTACGTCCTCCCCTTTCGGCGCCGGTCTCTCCCTCTCCAGATCTCGCACTCACACTCGTACCCAATACGCAGGGCTCTCGGCGCCGCCCTCACCATCGCTGCCGTCGCTCTGTCCGTCTGAGCGCCCTCGACGAGGGTCGGTCGACCGTCGATCGCGCCGCAGGAGCGCCGGCTCGGTCGTCTTTCTCTCCAGCCTCTTTGCAGACGTAGACTCTCCCCCCCTCCTTACTGCTCTACTCGCAATAGACATTCTCGCTCGTTGCACTATCTTCGAGCCCGTGCGCACGAGAAGCGAGAGCTAGAGAGACAAGCCACCGCACGAAGGTCCGAGCGTCCTCGACCTCCTCTCCTGGACAGGACGAAGGTGGCCGAGAGGTGGGGAGACCCCTTTGCGAGCTCGTCGTTCCCTCTCTGCCGCGGTGCACCTCCTCGTCAAACCAGCAGCGAAAGAGCGCTTTCCTCTCGCGCCCGCCTCAACCTCTCGAGCGCGTCGCCGACCTGCTCCAGCTGAACGTCCATTGCGCGACTCGCCCGGCCATCTACGACTGGCCGAGCTTGGGCAGCTCGCCGATGACGACGCCGCTTCCGCCGCTGAGGTGGCGCGAGCGCACCGTCGTGAACGAGGGTTTGGGCGGCGAGGGAAGGGTGAAGGTGGGGAACCGAGGGGGCTTGACGCCGTTGCCGACGGGGACGAGCTTGAGGGGCGATGGGGCGGTGAGGCGGGCGCGGGTCATGGCGAGTGAGGGAGCTGGTCCAGCAGCGAGTTTGGCAAGGAAGGAGGGGGCGACAGGTCGGGGAGGACGAGGGTGAACGAGGCGGCACGAGCTGCGGTCGGGCCGAGATCCAGTCAGCTTCGGCGCGCTCTGGATCAGTGAAAAGGACGCACCTGATAGATCTGGGTCGCCTGTACGGCTTGTCGAGCGTGTTGCGAGTCGAATCGAGGGACGGACGGTTTGATGAGCGCTGCGGGGAGGAGGGTGGTGAGCGGCGACCAGACTCTGAGGGACGATGGTCGCGTGCTCACCAGCTTTTGGGGGTTCCTGAGCGACTACAGACGCGACCGGCGCGTCGATTGTCGATGTCGGAGAGCGAGGACGAGCGGGGAGAGCTGCGGTGGACGACGACGACGACGACGAGCCAGCCTCACTCTCGGGATACGTAGTCCTTGCCCGGCTGTAGCAGCGTACGAGTAGATTTCAGCTGCGATCCCGCTCACGCCACCTAGCTCTGGTGCCGATTTGTCGCCCTTGGTCGGGGCTGCAGCCATCTTCATCTCGCTCACGGCTCGGCACCTCGCCACCTCGCTCGAACCATGCTAGGACCGCTCGTAAAGGCGCAGCTTGTGGCCTTCTTGACCAAGAAAGTGCGTCCCGCTCTCCCTCTGCCCCTCTCCACCTGTCCTTCCCCCCTCGCTGACTCCATCCTCCAGCTTCTTGAGTCGCCCACATTCCACAAGGGCGTCGGCGCGATACACGGTGGCGTCTCCAAGCTGCAGCAGAGCGCGTACGACACCCTGGCGCGAGCAGTCGGTGCGTCCCCTCTTCCTCTCCCTCCTCCTCCCCGACCCCGCCGCCGCCGTGCCCATCGCTCCCCCTCTCGTCCCTCACAGCCCCGTAGCTGACTCCCCCCTCGCACGAGCAGAAGAGCACGACGCGCAGCACCCACCAGCCCACCTCAAGTCGGGCGCGACGGCCGACTCGCACCGGCCTCGAGCGAGCGAACCCGTCAAGGTGCAGAACGACGAGCTGCGCAAGTTCATCGAGCGCACCAAGAAGGAGCTCGAGAAGGAGCAGGACGAGGGGCGGCATGGTGGGCGGCGATGAGGGTGCGGGGTGAGCGCGAGGTGCGGGTCCGGGCGTCCTTGGTCCGTCCTCGCTCTCGCTCCCTCTCTCGTGTGCGCCAACGACGATCTGACTCTCCTCGTCGCCGCAGTTGTTCCACTTTCTTCCCTTGTTGCCACAGTACCGTTTCCTCTCTCTATATCTCTCGCCCTGCAACGACGCACGCGCTCCATGAACAAGAGCCTTGATGCAGTCTCGACAACACGCAGAGAAGGGAGGAGACAGAGAGAGAGAGGGACAGAGAGAGGGCAGCGCAGGGTCTGTGATGAAGGGGGAGATGCACATGATGAAACAGAGGGATGCTCAGTTGCAGCCCTCGGCCGACAGGCGGTTGCGCGGCTTGCGGTACCCCGAGTCGGCGAAGCTCGAGATGTTGGGGCTGCGGTGAGGCGCGAGCGTCAGAGAGAGGTCCTTGAGGGCGCTCAAGAGAGAGAGGGAAGAGAGAGCGACGGACTTGAGGTACATGGCCATGTGGTCGTCGATGTACTTGCTCGTCGCTGCGGGGGAGGACGAGACTCAAGTCAGGGCGCGCTCGAGCTTCTGCGACTCGAGAGAGAACGGGCTCACGATGAGACTTGGGGTCGCAGCCGACCTGCGCGTCGCCCTTCTGGTAGACGCTGCGAGGGAAGGAACGAGCGTCAGTTGCCTGAAAAGGTGCGCTCGAGCCTCGTCGCGACCGAGGCGGCCGACGCTGCTCGACTCGATGGGAAAGAGGGAGGTGGGACGCACCGGACGTAGTCGATGAGGAGGCTGCCCGGGAACGTGAGCTTTCCCCTGCGGACGAGCAAGCGCGAGAGGAGGAAGATGGGAGGGGAGGGGAGACAGAGGGTCAGGGCCACACTCTCTCGGTCTGGCGGACTGAAGGACGCACCATTGTGGCTCCTGGAAGGCGTAGCTGCGAGACGAGGGGGAAAAGAGAGAAAGGGTCAGTGCGCGAAAGGCGAACGAGGTTGAGAGAGAGAACCGCTCGGACCTGATGGCGAGGTTGAGGACGATGCTCTGCGGGTCCAAGGTCGTCAGTACGGCTCGTCGGGGAGGACTTAAGAGAGTGAGAGACGCACCATGGGCTCCTCAGAGACGAGGCGCTGCTCAATCTGAGCCGCCTCGTCAGGCCCGATCGCCGACGCGCGCATCGTCCACGTGCTCGTGCCGTTGATGGCCCACCGGATCTCGCCGTCTGCGCCTGGGTCGTACTGCGAGCGAACGAGGGTGAGCGTCGAACGAGAGCGCACCCGAGCGACCGGCTCGAGGGGGAGGAAGGAGGAAAGGAGAGAAGCGGACGCACCTCGAACCCGTACGAGGTGTACCCTCGACCCGAGAACGACGTGTTGTCGGTCATGACCTCGTGCGACAAGCTCTCCTGCAGGATGGCGCCGTGCCACTGGTTCTCGCGGATCGTCCAGTCCGGGTTGAGCTCGATGTGCGGCGTAAAGTTCTTCCAAAGGTGGCCCGCCGTGAACGGTGCGATCTGGACCGACTGAGACGCCGAGCCACGGTCGCCAGCTGCAGGTCGCGGGGAGTGTCAGGTCGAGAGGTGCTGAGGAACGAGAGGACGAGGAGGAGGAAAGGGACGCACTGCGCCAAATTGAGCCCTCGAGAGCGTCGACTGCGAGGGAACGGCGCGCACGAGGGTCAGTATACGAGTCAGGGACAAGGAGTGAAAGAGAAAGGGCACGCACTCTCCGGCGCACCCCTGCCGACGCTCGGACGAGGCCCAGGGTGCTCGTCGCGGTCCTCCTCGCACGTGCACGCCGAGAAGCGCTGCCCGTCGAGCCAGGACAGCTCGCCGCCGTAGTCGCGAGAGCCCGACGTCTTGGCGGCGACAGGGTCGGTGCCGTTGGGCCAGCTGCGCCAAGGAGGAAAGGGCGTCAGGGCACGTCGAGGAAGATGGGCGAGGCGCGAGAGACGAGGTCGACGCACGTCTGGTTGGGCAAGGTACCGACGTCGCACGCATCGTACGTGTAGGGCCAGACGCCCTGAGTCGTGCCGCCATAGCCTGCGCCGGTAGGGAAGTCAGGAAAGGGTCGTCGAGAGGACGAGAAAGGGTGCGAGGGAAAGGGCAGCGTACCGGCGCGACCGAGGTTGCCGAGCGTCCAGACACCGGGCCACAGGCCCTGCGTATCGGGCTCGCCGGGCAAAGACAGGCGAACCTCCATGTAGCCGCCGGTGAAGCTGTTTGGCGCGAGTTGGGAAGGTCAGCTCGTGCGCGCACGGACCCTCCTGCTCGGCGGCTTCGTCGAGCGCGAGAGACAGAGAGAGAGAAGGGGACGCGCCAGAACTTGTTCCACGACTGCAGCATGCCCGAGCGGAAGTTGAGGCCGTTCCACGGCTCCTGCGTGAGCTCAATGACGAGGTTGCCGTCCTTGGTCGAGACGGCGTCCGGGTCGTCTGCAGGACGGGACGAGGGTCAGTCTCGTCGCGACACGGACCTCCCTGCAGCCGAATAGACGAGGAAAAGGCCGAGCGTACACCATTCGAGATCGCTGCATGGCGAGAAAGAGGGTCAGTTCGGGCTCGGCGCGTCGAGGGGAGGGGAGGATGGCGAGAGCGAGACTGACCGAGTGCCCCACTGCGAGAGTCGAGATTCAAGTACATCCAGAGGCCGAGGGGAACGATTGAGAGAGAGAGTGAGGGAGGGAAGAAGGTCAGAACGAGTCGGACGTTGAGAGTCGAACGACGAGGGGCCACGAAGCGCACGTAGTGAAGGTCGACCGCCTCCCAGTACCTGCAGGAGGCTCGTCAGTATGTCCTCAGCGGCGGTCGAGAGGCGAGAGGGACGCACGGGTCGTCGCCAGGCCAGAAAGTGCGCCCGTCCTGGTTGAACTGCGGAACGACGACCTGAGTCAGTCGTGCCACGACGCGCAAGGGGAGCGAGAGGGGACGCACCTCGTCCGAGAAGACCAACTTGTACTCCTCGCCGTCGAGACCGGTGCGCGCGTACGCTTCCGTCGGCGTGGCGTCGTCGATGAGGGTCGGCAGGCCCGGGATCTTGGGCACCTGGCCCGTCGAGTTGGTGAGCGTCTCCATGGCGGCCCGGTTCCAGCTGCCGTCGATCGCGAACCTGTCCGAGCGCTCGAGGTTAGGACGAGGCCAAAGAGAGACGAGGTGGGGAGGAAAGGGACGCACCGGTAGACGGGCCACCCTGCGAACAGGCCGACGATGACGATGACGACGATGCAGAGCGACGCCGTGTTGAGGAGCGCGAACCAGCTGAACCTCGAGCGCATCTGCTTGTCCATCATGCGCTCGAGCTCGGGATCCACCTCGTGAAGAAAGTCGTCCGGCTCTTTCTCCCACGACGTCCACGACGACGCACCCGGCGTCGTGCTGCCCGACCGACCCTCGAGGCGCGGGATCGACTGCGACGTGCCGCTCGGGTTGAGCTCAAAGTTGGACGAGGTCGACGAGGGAGAGTCGGGGATGGGGAAGGACGAGGACGAGTAGGGGAGGGACGGCGGGTCGAGCAAACACGAGCTGGACCGCCGCCCGCCGAGGACCGCGGACGTGCGTCGAGGCGCGAAGGCTTCAGGAAACGGGCTGTAGAGGCCTGTGGGTGCGAGAGGACGTCAGTGCTGCCCTGTCGAGCGGCTGGAACCCGCACGAACGGCCCTCGAGGTCACGTCTCGAGGTTCCCGCTCGTCGCGCTCGGCGCTCAAGGCTGGGGAGAAAGGTCCACGTACCACCGACAGTGCCGTTCAGGACGCCTGCGAGTCGAAAGAACGCGGCCGAACCTCGGGTCAGCACACGGTCGCGCTTCGAGTTGAGCGAGCGCACGGTCGAGAGAGAGAGAGAGGGGGGACGGACCAAAGGACGCCTCGTCGAGGTGGCTCGACCTGCTGTCTGACCGCAGCGACGACTCGCCGCGAACGCCTTGGGACGAGTCGGGGCGTGCCGAGCCTTGCGCGTCGAACGACATCGAGAGCGGGGTCGTCGGGAGGGGAGCGGTTCGACTCGCGGTGGGGGCGAAACGCGAGGGCTGGAGCGCGTGTGGGCGAGGTCGACGAGCTGTAGTTGAGGGCGCTGAGCGAGTAGCAAGCGTGCGCCGCGGCAGCAGGTGGAGAGAGGCGAGCTGAGAAGGTGAGCCGACGAGGCGGATCGTCGAGCGTGCCAAGCCAAGCTCCCGAGGAATCAAGACTCGAGCCTCTCTGGCCCGAGGGCAAGCAGCAAAGTGGCGCGCCAGCGAGGCCCCCTCGCCGATCAATCGGTCAACTGCAAACGAGAGCGGCGCCGAGGAGGAAGCGAGCGAGGTGCACGGTCCTCGAACGTAGTCGCTCGCAGGCGTCGACTTTCGAATGCTCGTGCTCTCGCTCTTGCGGCACGAGGAGGTGACTGAGTAGTTGCAGGTTCGTGACAAAGGTTGCGTGCGAGAGTACAACAAGAGGGTGGCACCCGGAGGAGAAGGTGGCTGCAGAGGGAGAGAAACTCAAACTCGAATCTTGCTCGGGAGAGGGGGAGGGACGCCCTCGTCGTCGTCGTCGTCGCCGCCGTTGAGCGCCGTCGCCTTCATCGACGCCGTCGCACTCGTTATGGGGCTGCTCGGGCCATCCGTCACCTCGGACTGCTGCACCTCGACGGCGATGCCGCTCCCGAACGAGGTCGTCGAGATGGGTCGTGCCGCCTCGTGCCGCCGCGCGTACTCGACCCGGCCCGTCCACCTGCGCGCAGGGAGAAGCTCGTGAGTCTGGGTCCGCTAGGGGCTCGGGCGAGAGCCGTCGCAGGGGCCGAGGCGAGGTAGAAGGCGGGAGAGAAAAGGAGGAAGAGGGACGCACGTCCACCTGCGCTGCTGGTCGGCGCCCTTCTCCCAGTCGTCCTTCTCGAAGCACATCGGCAGGTCGAGCCTACACGCCTGCTCCTGCGCGAACGCGTGCTCGAGCTTGGCCTTGCCGGCCGCAAACTCGTCGGGCTTGAGCAGGCAGAACGAGAGCGGCGACGCAGGATCCCGCTCGGCGACGGCCGGGTTGCCGACGATGCGTGCGGCCCGCTCGAGAGCGCGTTGAGCGTCGAGAGGGATAATGGCGGGAGGGTTGGCGGAATGGGCGGCGAGGAAGTCGCGCATGCGGGGGATGACGGCGGGCGCGTGCGTGAGGGCGAGGAGGTGTGGTGCGCCTGTCTCGTTCGGGGGTCAGTAGCCGCACGAGACTCGAAGACTAACGGAGAGAAGAGACGGACCGGGTTCGATGCGGAAGCGCAGGTCCTTCGAGCCGGTAAAGTGCTGCGCGAGTGCCTCGACGTCCTCGGCCGGGTAGCACATGTCGGCCTCGCCCTGTTTCGAGTCGTCCCTCGTCGTGAGTGCGGCGAACGAGGCGACAGGGGGAGGGGAACAGGGGCGCACCTGGATGAGCAAGAGAGGCTGCCGGATGCCGGCGAGCAGCTCGGGCGTGATCTTGGACACGGTCTGGTTGGGCGCCGTCGACATCCACACGTTGCGCGCCTTGTACGGGTTGTAGTGCTGCAGAGAGGCAGAGTCAGTGCGACGCTCGACGGGCCCGAAACGAGGGAAAGGAGGCGAGACGCACCCGAACGAGCGGCGGAAGGACCGTGTCCCAGACCTTCTCGCGACCCTCGCACTCGGTCAGGACGAACTGGCCGATCGCCTCAACGCACTCTGCCCAGATCGACTCGTCCTCGGGCGCGGCCCACGCCTCGCCCACCTCGCGGAACTCGTTGATGTGCCGCGGGAGGGCAAAGGCGGACGAGAGGCCGACGAGCGACAGCGACAGGACGTGGTCGGGGAAGATGATCGACATCTTGAGGGCGGCTGTGCGCACGTTCGACAGGGTCAGGTCGACGTCTGCGGGCGCAAGGGAGAGGTACGAAAGGCGAGAGAGAGAGGGACGGACGCTGGAAGGCTTGAACGCCGGCGGCAAAGACGTGTGACGGCGGCAGCTGCAGCGCGTCCATGGCGAACGCTGTCGAGGCAAGGACGGTCAGCTCTTGTTCGCTGCCCTCGAGAAGGCGAGAGAGAGAGAGACTCGATCACGCACCGAGGTCGGCGGCCGCGACGAAGTAGTCGTACGACGGCGTGACCGTGTTGCGAGTGCGGCCGTGGCTGCGGGGCTCGATGCAGCACACCGAGTAGTCGTTCTTGAACGCGGCGACATAGTCCTTGAGCTGGAGGACGTTGCCCCACGACGGCGCGACGAGGATCAGACTCGGCTTGGCCAGGTCTGGCCGGCCGGTCGCCGTGTGCAGCTCGTAGTACAGCGAGGCGCTGCCATCGGGGAGGTCGACGTGCGGCATGGCGTGCTGGGAGCGGCGAGAAGGGGTGTAACCGGTAGGGAGGCGCAGGAGAGAGCGCGAGAGAAGCGAGGGAAGCGAGCCGCAAGATCGACGCAGCGGCGACGAGGGCGCTGCAGACGTCCGAGCGAGGCCAAACAATCCCGGCGCCGATTGCAAGCAGCGGTTGCGGGGACGCACACTTGCCCCGCTCGGCGGTCCTTCGTGCAAGTGAGCGCCGGTGGATTGACCTCGTCACCGAGTTGACCTTCTCAAACGAGGAGGGTCGCTCGTTCGTGCACGGGCCAGGCTCATTAACCCACGGCGGAGCGCTGCCTGATCACCTTCCTCACGCGAGGCTGGCACGTCAATTACCTCCTCGATCAGAGAAGCCTTGCGAGCGATGCGTGCGCCGAGCGCGTCTTTCGACTCCCGCCTGGCCGACGACGAGCGAGCGGGACGTCCGCGGCGACGTACTTATGCAATTGCTCTCGCACACCGGACAGCCATCGCGTCAAGCGAGGCCGAGATGGGTTCTCTGCTCGTCATGGACCGCGCCGCGTTGCCCGCACAAGCCCCTCGCGCTACAAAGTGCTCCTCCCGCCCCTCAGCCACGTGGCCGCGCGCACGAGCCGCTCACCCGCTGAACAAGAGGCTCGCCGCCACCTCTGCGTTGCCGCCCGCCGCCTCGAGCAGCCTGACGGCCGTCGCACGGTCCGCCCCGAGGCCGACGAGGCTCGCGATCGCCTCCTCCGACACACCCGCCGCCGCTTGAGGCGCACTCGGCGCCGCCGCTGGTGCGGGCGCCGCCGCCGCCGGTGACGGCGAGCCGCTCTTGACGCGCTTGGCCGAGGGCGCTGCCGACGAGGGCGACGCGCCGAGGCTGCGGCCGGAGCCGGGGAAGGTCGAGGTGGATGAGGAAGAGGCGGCGGCGGAAGACGAGGACGAGGCGGCGGCGGCGGCGGCAGCGTTCGAGAGCGAGGCCGCCTTGGTACCGACGGCGACAGGGTTGCCGGCGCTGTTGCCGTAACGAGAGGCGTCAATTCGGCTCGAGAGAGGCTCTGAGAGATGGTCCGAGAGGAAGGAGGACGCACGCGTCGAGCTCGAACTCCTCGCCCTTGCCCTTGGGCAGCTCGTGCTCGGCGAGGAAGGGGATCTTGCGGTCCTGGATGATGAGGGCGTTCTCGCGCAGGTCGATGCAGCATTGATGCCGGCGCAGCATGTCGAGGCCGAACAGGAGCTCGACGTCGCTCTGCGGAGGAATAAGGGTCAGGCTCCGTCTCGCTCGTCGCGGGGCCAAAAGAGAGAGAGAGAGGGGTGAACGCACGTCGAGGATCGTGAAGCTGCACTGGAGGAACAGGTCGGGGCCCATCTTGAGCTGCGCGCTGTGGACGCGGCCGAGGATCTTGCCCGTCCCAACGCCGCGCGCCATGCCCGCAAAGCGCGTGTCGAGGAGGCGCATGATGCCGCAGCGCTCGGCGCACGCCGGCGACATGATGGTACTCTGCGCGCCCGAGTCGACGAACGCCTTGACCGGGACGCCGTTGACGGCCGTGTCGACGTACAGCATGTGGACCTGGCCGAACCTGCGAGGCGCACACGAGGTCAGTGACGTGCCCGCGCTCAGAGATGGGGGAGAGAGCAGAGGGACGCACGACTCGGGCATGTCCTCCATGGCCTGCTCAAAGTTCTGCAGCACGCGCTCCTGGCGGATCGCCTCCTCGATCTTCTTCTGCGCCTCGACGTCGTACGGGTCGGCCTCGAGGAGCTCGCGCTCGCGGTCGGCCTGGAGGCGCGCCGACTGCTGCATCGACGCGAGCTGGTGCAGGAGGTCGCGGAACCGAGACGGGTCGTTCTGCGCCGCGTCGGCGAGCTCCGGGTTCGTCTGCGAGGGGCAGGGAGGTCGAGTCAGTAAGCTGAACAACCTGGGCCGGCTCGGAGAAAGGGTTGGAGCTCACCCTCCTCAGCTCTCCCATCAGTCTCGGGTCGCCGAGCACCTGCCTGCGCATCGTCTCGGCCTCGGCGTCGACATTCCTGCCCGCGACCGCCTCGGTGCTCGGGTCCTTGCTCTTCTGGCGCAGGAGCAGCAGGTCGTCCGCCTTGACGCCGCACGACTGTAGACGCAGGGTGGGAGAAGACTAGGTGAGCGTGTGTGGTCGACCATCGACGGACGAGGAGGAGGTCGGCGAGCCGAGTGGGGTCGGACGCACCTCGAGCGAGTCCTTGAGGCCGGTGAGCTGGCGGCCGTTGAAGAAGATGAGCTGGTCGGACGCCGGGATGTTGCTCTGCGGACGTGTCGCCGCATCAGTGCTGCTCAACGAGGGTCGAGGGAAGGCGCGACAGGGGAGCTTACGTCGGCCTCGAGGAGCGCGCACAGGTCTTCGAGCGAGATGTCGAGGCTGACGTCGACAGGGAACGAGTCGCCTTCCTCGGTGGCGACGGTGATGAGGGCCATGCTGGCCGTGCTCGTGGTGCGGGTTGTGGCGAGGCGAGGAGCGAGTGGGGAGGAGGCGGTGGAGGGGGAGGCGAGGGAGGTCGGCAGCGAGCTTGCGCGGACGCAGGGACAGGTGGAGCGTGTGTTGGTGCTTCTGCTGCGGTGGCTGGGCGAGCTTGCACACAGGCGAGCGGTTGTTGAGGCTCGACAAAGGTTCGAGGACCGTCTCTCGTCGACGTCGACGAGGCCGCGCAACTCGTCGCCTCTCTCGGGTCCAGGCCTGACGGGCGCAAAGGCCTTACAAAGCAGTACTGTGCCCTCTACAAAGGATGCGGAAAATGCTGCGAGTGTTGGTCTACAGCGTCTTGGTCTTGGCCGCGACGCGCAAGCTGCGAGCGATCTGGCGGTAGAACACGACGCTGAGGATCGTCCTGTGCACGAGGAACGCTGCGTGTGTCAGAGGACGTTCTCGAGGCTGCACGGCCGAAGATAGAGAGAGGGGGGAGAGAGAGAGAGAGAGGAGGACGCACGGTGCGACAATCCAAGCTCCGTTGGGCAAAGCGAAGAGCACCCAGAAGTCCCACGGCGTGTTGTGGCCCCTGCAGAGAGCGCGTCGTCAGGACTCGTCGACTGAGAGAGAGGGGGAGGGAGAGGGAGAGAGAGACGCACGTCGCGTCCCAGCCGCCTTGCTGCACGCGCGAGACAGGGCAGGGCAGGAGCACCTGTCAGTGCCTGTCGCTGTAGGGCAGAGAGAGAGAGAGAGAGAGCGAGGACGCACCCAGTCGCGCAGCCAGTACAGGATCGTCTTGGCGCTCGTCATGGTCGCGCCCGTGAAGCCGACGAGGACCGCCTCGGGGCTCTCGCGCCGCGCGAGCCACAGGTAAACGATGTTGAGGACCGACTCGACAATGTTCATGATGGCTGCGGACGCTCGTGTCGGTCAGAGAGGTGGCTCGGGCGGAACGAGAGGTCGGGAGCAGGAGAGAGGGAGGGAGGGAGAGAGGGAGACGCACCTTGCGCGCTCGTGAAGCCGTCTCGCCGGTCGTACCAGCTCCTCGAGTAGACGAGGTCGACTTTCTCGTACAGCGCGTACGGCGACCAGAGCCAATGCAGGTCGCCCCCTGCCATGGAGCGCGGCCGCATGAGGACGAAGCCCGTGTCCCACGCGACGAGGATGGTCGACACGACGAACCACCACCACACCCACCAGGGCGGGCGGTACGCGTTCGAGCTGAGGTTGGCGGCCGAGGTCATTGTCGGCGCGAGGAGGCGGGGAGGAGGGCGAGTCGAGGAGGGGTGGTTGCTGTTGCAGGCTCGAGTCTGGCCGTGGGTGGCGAAGGTCTGCGCGAAGAGCAAGGAGCAAGTCGTACACGGCGAGGACGAGAAGTGGGAGAGAGAGTCGAACGACGGCGACACCGGCAAGCGTGCCCAAAGTGGGGCGAATCGCAATTTCCTGGTCGACCAGCCTCCCTGTCTCTTGAAGACGACGAGTACGAGGAAGCGACGAGTCTTTGCAATTGCGACGGGGGTCGAGACTGAGCGGAACGAAGGGAATCGAGAGAGAGGGGGGCGAGCGCGAAGAGAGGGGGTATCTGACGCGAGGGGGGGGGCGACGCTCGACGGCAAGGACAGGGGCACGAAAGAAGGCACAGGAAGGGGGAAGAAAGGGGGTATACGTGGGGACGCGAGCCGCTCAGAAGCGAGCCGGGCCCGACTGGCGCAGGCGCTCGAGGCCGGCGAGGACCTCTGCGCGCTCGTCGTCCTCGAGCGAGCCGTCGTCGAGGACCGACGCCTCGATGTCGTTGAGGAGGAGGCGCCACACCTGTCGCACGGGAGCGAGAGTGTCAGAGCGAGGCCGAGGGGGACGAGAAGAGAGGGAAAGAGAGAGACGCACCTCGCCGCGGGTGGTGCCGAAAAACGCGCACAGCTTCTGCGCCTGCCGCACGGCACGGTGGCTCGACGTGCTCGCCGAGCGCCTCATGCCCGGCGCCGCTCCCTCATTCTCACCGTCCTCGTCGTCTTCCTCCTCCTCGTCCACCTCCTCCTCGGCCGCGCTCCTGCTGCCGCTGCTCCCAGCCTCCTCCGAGTACACCCTGACGACCTCGTCAAGCGCGCCCGGGTCGCGCTCCATGACGTACTGCAGGCTCGCGATGCTCGCGCGGTACGAGTTGACCGTGCTGCTCCTCGTCGGCTCGCGCTGCAGCGTCGACGCCGGGTTGTTGGCCGCCGGCGGGAGCCACGAGCCGGCTGTCGCGCCCGGCGCGAACGGCGACGAGACGAGGTCGGACAGGTCCGAGTAGGAGCGGCGCTGACGGGTGGCGAGGAACGAGGGGCGCGAGGTGCCGAAGCCGGCGGCGGGGGAGGATGGGCTGGGTGAGGCCTGCGAGAGGAAGAGGGCGGGAGGAGGGAGGTCGCCAAAGAGCTGCGTGCGCGAGGAGAGAGGCGAGTCAGTTGTGCTCGGGGAGGGAAGGGCCGAGTCGGACTCGCATTCTCGAGCTTGCGGGCCCGGTGCAGCGCATTGACACCCGGCCTCCCCTTCTTGAGCGTCTCGCCGCCCTCCTCTCCCGCACCCTGCGCCCCCTCGACCCACTGCGGCTCGACGTACCGCCACCCGGCGTCGCCGCCGCCCGCGAGCGGCTCAGGCGCGTGCCCACCGCCACCAGCGCCGGTCGACGAGCCCGCCGCCCCGCCGTGCGGCCTGCGCATGATGCGGTCGCGCAGCGCGCCGCCACGAGACCGGTCGCGGCCCATCGCCGGCGCAACCCCCGCCGCCGCCGCCGCCGCCGCCGTCGCCGTCGTCGCCGTCGGGTCGTCGCCGGGCACGACGAGCGCGAGCGGCACGCGCTCGCCGAGCACGCGCCGCACCTTGTCGAGTTTCCTGCGGCGCTCGTCGCGCTCGTCGCGCGCGCGGTCGGCGGCGACGCGCTCGGAAAAGTACGTGTGGCGCGTGTCGGCGAGGGACGAGAACGAGCTCGAGCGGCGGCCGCGCGAGGGCGACGACGACGAGCGGTGCAGCGACGGGCGGCCGCCGGGGTTGGTCGGTGAGCGCGGCGAGAGCGAGGGCGAGGTCGTCGAGGTCGAGGATGGGTGGCGCGCGAGGTTGGTGAGGGAGCCTTGAGACGACGCGGAGAGGGACAGGGCCGACGGGCGGCGCGCGTCGAGGCGGGTCGAGCGCGACGTGGGCGAGCCGAACGCGTAGCCCGCCGTTGGGCCCGGCGGCGCGAGCGACGCACGACGCGACGACGTGCTCGTCGAGGCGCCGGACGAAGCCGTGGCGGCGGCGGGAGCGGACGAGCCGAGCGGCAGCGGCCGCTCGACCGTGAACGACGCGTTCGTCGGCGACACCTCGTCGCGCCCGAGCCCATCGCCGGCCCCTCCTCCTCCTCCCTGCACACCCGGCCGCCGGTCAACGAGCACCCTCGCCGCCGCGCTCTCCTGGAACGGCGCGCCAAAGAAGCCCTCGAGCTTTTTGCTCCGCCGCACGAGCGCCCGGCGTTGCTCGGCGCTCAGGCTGTCACAGTGCAGCAACACCCCGCCGCCGCCGCCGCCGCCGCCGCGGTGCGCGTCGAGCGCCGAGTCGAGCGAGACGCGCCGGGGCGACGTCGGCGACGGTGGGCCGAGCGCTGGACCTGGGCCGGGGCTCGCGCCGCGCACGTGCGGCACCGCCGGCGCGAGGTCGGCGAACGGGCGCGCAGGCGACGCGGCGAGGCGGGGCTCGTGCGCTGGGGCGGCGGCGGCGGCGTCCTCGAGCGAGGTCGAGAGGAGCGCAGCAGGCGGCGGGGCATGGATGCGCTCGTTGCCGGCCGACAGGACGCGGCGGTGGAGGAACGAGGTGCGGCCGTTGGGAGAGAAGGACGGGCGTGAGGGGGACGAGGTTGGGGACGAGGACGAGGTTGGGTCGGCTGGGTCGTGGAGGAGGAGGGGCGCGGTGGACGACGTCGACGACGTGAGGCGCTGGTGCCGCTTGCTCGAGGCGGCGGCGATGGCGTCGCCAGGCGCAGCGGACGTCGTCGACGAGGCGGTCGAGGCGCCCGAGAGCTCGCGGGCGCGCGCCTGCTGCGCCGCCTTGACCTTGCCATTGGCGCCGGCGCCGCCGAGGTGCAGGTGGTGCGGCGCGCCCCTCGTGGACAGCGACGACGACGACGACGACGCCTTGGCGCCCGGCTGAAAGTTGTCGCCGAGGAGCCAGCGCAGCTTGTCGTCCTTGCGCACGATCGACGCGTGGGCGTCGCGGATCCCGGCAGCGATGCTGCGCGTGTCGGCGTCGTCCTCGTCCTCGTCGTTGTGCGGCTCGTCGGCGGCGTCGGCCGCTCTCGGTGGCGGGTCCGGGAACACGCCGAGGACGAGGTCGCGGTCCGACGACGAGGACGAGGGCGCGCGCTCGTCCGCCTCGAGGATGTCGCCGAACGCGGCGCGCGAGACGTAGTGCCCGAGGAGCGTCGCGAGCGTGCGCCTCGAGGCCTCGGTGCGCTGCTTCGGCGGTGCGGTGCGCGTTGTCGCGAGCGAGAGGGCGAGTGCCGACACGGTCGACGAGGGGAGCGGCGCCGGGAAGGTCGACGGGCGGACTTGGGTCATGAGCATGTCGAGGGCGGGGCAGACGTCGGCGTCGGCGTTGTCGTCGTCGTGGCGTGGGTGGGTCGGGTCTGCGATGGGCGAGAGGAAGCGGAGGAGGGAGCCTGCGCAGCCGGAGAGGAGGCAGGAGCGGGTGTCGGGGTCGAAGGTAGGGCGTGCGAGGGCCGAGCGCAGGTGGACGAGGGTGGCTGGCGGGAGCAAGAGAGGGGAAGGGTGCTCTGGCGGCGTCGCAGCGTCGCGGTGCTCGTCGTTGGTCGGCGGTCGCGCGTACTGTGCGGGCGACGCGAGCGAGGGTCAGTGCCGGGTCCTCGACGGTGCGCAGACGGGGGACGAGGGAGCGGGGTCGACGCACGACCTCGCCAAGGTACTCCCTCCACGCGTCCCACCAGGCCTGCCCGTCGCGCTGCGCGCTCGACCCACGCCGAGAGACGGACGGCGCACCTGCCGCCTCGTCCGCGGCTGGCCTCGACGTGCTCGCGCTCGCGCCCTCGAGCGAGTCCCCTGCGCTGTTGGCCGTTGCTGAGCTCGGTACAGCGGTCTCGTTGAGCGTGGCGGCGTCTCGAGGCGAGGTCGAGGGTGCGCCGGCGGGAGGAGGCGGGTCGTTGGCGAGCGCCGAGGCGAAGTCGACGAGGAAGACGAGGGCGGCGACTGGTCGAGGCTGGGCGTGGGCCGACTGGGTGAGGAGGAGCCTCGCGAGCTCGAGGCGGCTGCGCTGGTCGAGGATGCGGTCGACGAGGTCGTCCATCGAGTCGTCGAGTGGGAAGCGAGCGGGCTCGACTCGA